ACTAATCGTCACTAATTTTATGAACGGCGCTTCAAGATCGACAAGTTTCTTGCAATCATTATTTTTTTTTTTTTTTTTAATTGCATATCAATCTTTGCGTTTGCATGTTAAACTGTTGAATTTGTTGTCAATTGTCTAAAGTCAATTTCCAATAGTTGATCAGTGTTTACCCACTCTCAAGAAGGCTTTTTTGAATTCTATGTCATGATTTTTCATGTGTATACTATACTAGGTGTTATTTTTGTAAATTGAAATGCCCTAGTCGTGTGATTCATTGTTTTGTTATGAATTGTGTAATCTTGAATTGTAGTGCTAAAATAACCGTGAGATTTCGTCACAAATTGATGGATTATTATTATCATTTTTTAAAGGATATCCTCAAGAAGTGAATCGACTAATTATAATGGTCCAAAACCCTTTTCCTTTCTTTCTTAATAATTCTTTTAGGAGAGCCTAAACATCCGATTCTACATCAGGACTGTTAATTTCTTGAATTGAATCCAAATATCTTCAATAATATATTATCTTAATAATTTAATCGCAAACTTATTTGAAACTTTCCTTAAATTCACTGAAAGTTTGTCATGTAGAGGGATTGTAAATCGGTTTGGGTGTGCAACAGTAACAGTTATTCATTACTGCATTTTAAAAATGTTGATTTCCAATTGTTTAAAATTTGTTCCTAATTTTTACTAATTGTATTGGTGTTCTGTGAATTTGAACTTTAAAACAGTATTTTGACAAAGCAGAGCAACATATTATAGCTTTCTAAAAAAAATTGAATCAGAATCTCAATTTCTCAGTCAAACTTATCTCACTAGACAACCTTAAAATTACCATAGGTTTGAATGTATTTTGAACAGATTTCCTTTGAATTAGCCTTACTACATCAGACAGTGCGTAATTTTCTCTGATGCTTTATTTTTGAGATTTGGCAACACTGAAACTTGAAATTTTGTGAGCATATTCTTCATAATCTAAGTAAGGTATACTCACAGAAAGTCCTAAGAAATTAGTTTACTTAGCTTTTAAGAAAATAAAATATGAGAGAATATCAGGCAACAAAAATACAGTCAGACTTATTCTGGTTAAATAAGTCCAAAAATCGCATGAAATGTTTTCAATTTGTCACAAAATCTTTGACTTCATGAGAGTACCCTCCCCCCTTCGCTATTTTTTGTGACAGCTTTAGAGTTTAAAGAAGTCTACATTGTTGTGCCATTAAATTTTTAACTTGTTTCATTTGATGCATGACCTCAAAAGTATTGAGCTTCCTATTTTTGCATTCATATTGTTGTACTGTGAATCATACACTACATGTTCCAAAAACTTGAATCATTACAATGTATTCAATTGTTAAAACTCTTTACCTACATTCTCTTTACTTCAATTTTAAGGTTTTAAAAATCAATGAGCGCCGTAGGTAGTGGATTTGAATGACAGTGGAAAAATTCAATTGTTAATGGGTTCCACTTGTAAGTAAGAAAACTGTTTCCAAGGAACGGTTTAGATAATCCATTATTAATTTTGTGCATGTACCCTATGCGTGTTTAAACATTGAGGTTTTTTTTAATAAATAAATCCAGCTTGTGTTGGGAAAACTGCTCTCAACTTTCTGGATAACTTTTTTAGCCTCCTGATGGCACACTTTGAGACACATCACTTGAAGAAAATTTGTATTCCATAACCACCGATTTTAGAACCCAGAAAATTTTCTTGTTTCAATTTTTTGGATTTTTACGCGTTTTTGGTGGCAAATAATGCGGGAGTAACTCTCTAATTCTGCCTGTTATTAACTTGAATTGACTTCATGGAAGATTAAAGTTGTTTTCTGAACAAATCATGAATATATACAGCACTGAGAACCAGAGCTCGCTAATTTCTCAATATTTTCCCTTAATAAGCCTGTTCACTTAATCACTCCTTTTAAATTGCTTTGCTACTATCCTAAAAAAATATTTGGGAAACATTTGTTGCTTAGAAACATAAAATCTTCATCAATATTTGCGTAAAATCAAGTAATTAAATTGCTGGCAATCATACCTACCCATCGCCAAGCAGTTTATTTTTTGACATCTCAAAATAGTGAAAATATAGTTATAGAAGGAGCCTTTGGCTGTAAGCAACAGGTATGGCAATCATCATGTATATTGTATATTTCCACTTCAGGTGCATCAATTATTTAATAATTTTAAAAATCATTGTGCCTCTATGTTTCGGCAATAATAGATATTTTATATAGTGTTATCATACCATCTGTATTAAACTTTCAATTTATTTTAATTTATTTTAAAGATTGTAATTATTATATATAAGGAAATGGATAGTTATTGATAATGCTGATTCAATTAAAATGTTACTCATTTTACACTCTGGATTTATTTCAATCCCACTTCTATACGAATGAGACCGTGGACAAAATTTTTCCAGAAATGCCCTTATGTTAAAAATGTTTACACACAGTTAAGAAGAAATGATATTGTAGTTACAGTCACACAATACCAAATAGGCAACAAACAAAATATATATATTATATATCCGGGGGAGTTTGGCAACTCTCAAATATTCATAGAATGTTCTTCCTTAGCTTGGCTGTACTAGTCCCTCATTTTTTCAAGAGCACAAACAATTATTTTTTTTCATTTTCACCTATCATGAAAATACAGATCTTCTCATTGGTATGTCAACAGCTCCCTCAGTAAGGAAGAACTTTATATGAGCCTTTAGACTTTGCCAAATTTCCTTGGACCTAATATGAATTTTTGGGGCAATCTGTGATGATACGTCTTCAAATTGTGCAATCAGATCTAAATTATCTGAAAATGTATAGAGAAAATATTTTTGACTCCTTAAAAATATACCTTTCATTGGAGGAAATTTGACATCTCCCGAATGTTCATACGGTGTTTCTCCTCAGCCCTGCAGATACAGATCACCCGGTCGAGGACAGGGGAGAATTTGACTGCATTTTGCAATTTGGAATTATAAATTCTTGCTCATCTAGAAAAACACTTATGTGCATAGGGAAACTAATGGCACATACGCCGTTTTTATACTGGGCCAAAATTGATAGTTCCAAATTGCAAAATGCAGTCCAATTTCATGAGCAGCCGCCAACCCGCGGTGCACTATGGTCCCGAACTCAAGAATAGAAGGAAATAAGTCGGATAATGACTGAAAGATCAAGAAAGTTTCAGTATCAATCATTTATTGAGTCGCTGATTTCGAATTTGACGTCAAATTGCCTACATTTTAACACCCTGACCTATTAATTGTGGGCAAGTTTATGGCAGGCTGCGGCGCGGCGTGCCGCCGCTGCCAGCTCGAAACGCGCACTGACGCCTACAAACCTAAGGGGATACTTCAAGCATTGCGCAATGCGTGAAGTAGCCTTTTAGGTTTGTAGGGGTCAGTGCGCGTTTCGCGCTGGCAGCGAGGAAGGCGTCCCCAACAGGGCAGTGAACAATTTCTTGTGGGGAGAGTGCCCTGTCGGAGAAACTCGTATACCTATTGTGAATTTTTTTTTTAATTTTCGAATTTAAAAAGTACACACTGGTCGTGTGAAGTAATTAGTGAACTCTCAACGCCAGATGAAGTGTAATAATGAAAGGCGAGTCGTGCGCCATGAGCGCTGCGGACGGCGCAGGGCGGCTCATGAAATTCTCCCCTGTGCTCTGCCGCGGATTATCGGCGAAACTGGTAATTCAAATTTCCCTCTTAATGAAAAAAGTTGCGTTGTAGTGCCGTTAGTAGCGCTACTGTCGCAACAGGGAGAGGCATTCTGTTATATGCTGCATTTTCGGCGGAGGGTTACATACATCCGGTATGGTCTAGTGGCTAGGATACCTGGCTCTCACCCAGGAGGCTCGGGTTCGATTCCCGGTACCGGAAGAAAATTTTATACAGACACGAGCAGCATTCGACGGGAGGCTCTCATACCAGACTTTGCAAAGCAGGTCGAAAGTGATTGGACAGAGCTTTACATTTGATCTTTAAAGCTCAAGTCTCAATTATATACCCCAAAATTCTTCACTCCAACTTTTAAGCATCCTCGATTTATATTGAGGGTGTGAAGGGCCTATCCTACCTATATCGACAAAGGCTCTATTTAGGGTAAGGATAAAACAAAAATTGGAATTTGAAATAATTTCGATCAAGTTCAACTTCACTTTTTTTGCTCGGGGAATTTTAATAGAGCAGGTGGGAGTACGAGCGAAGAACTTGTCGAATAAAATTTTCTGTGTCTCTACAAAACAACTGGCCATCGTTCTGTCATGCTAAGGAAAAACGCCGTATGAACCTTCAGGCGTTGCCAAATTTCCTTCAGTTCATACAAGTTAATTGGGAAAAGTGTGAATATTTTTCTCTGAATTTTTCTGACAATTTTGTTCGCAATTGAATCTAAGATATCTGAAAATTCCAAGAAAATATATGCATAGGTAACTTCCTTTCAAAATGAATTTTTTATCGAGGGAAATCCGGCAAGATTCGAATATTTCTACAGTGCTTTTTCTAAGCACAGCAGAATTGATTTTGGAGCAAAAGCTTACAAAACCCTGGAATTTTGGGATCTAACTTTCAAAATGCCAAATTTGCTCTCTCACAGATGAAACTTACTTTAGAGGTTGGCTTAAATGGGTATGAATGATTAAAAAAAACATAAAGTTCTTTGATTTATTTGATTTTTTTTATTTCAAAAATATTTTTTCAATTCAATGAAATAAAATAATGAAGCGATACAAAATAATTCGATAAGCTATGCAAAAGTTTTGACTGCATACAACCATTATGTGATCCATGCACGATGACTAACTATCAAAGAGAGACAGACTTAGAAAACAGACTTTTTAGAAAAGAAATAAAATTTTTGATTTTTGGTTTCGATAACGCACAAAATCACTTCTTTCCCATGTGATTCATAGCGGTGAGCATAATAAGTATAAAATAAAAGTAATAAACAGTGATCAGAGGGGCTTGTTGTTTCTATGAATACAAAATTGGCTGACTTTTGGAGTCAGACAAATTAATGAATCTTGCATCTTTGTATTTCAATGCAAAGATGCTTTCGTTCGATGAAAGTTGGATCACGTGATACTGACACAAGATCACAACAATTGGATGAAAAGTTGAATGGAAATTCAATTTGACATCACCTTAACCTTTCCTCCCAATTGGTGGGCCAATTGGATAGATAGTTGAACTTAAATTTTAACAATCTTTTAAAAAATTCAAGGGGAAAACAGTAAACTGAGAAAATGTTCAAAAATCAACTCGTAAGTCAGATATTATTACGGAGGATGGGGGAGAGGGAGAGTCAGACTTTTCTAATTAACTTTTCAAAATTAAGTAGGATCCTAAGAAGTTTCCAAGTATATAGAACCCTAAAAAAGCAAAATTTGGATGCATTTATGCTGAAGACGTCTATTTACAGTCATCCTGGATGGCATGAATGCGTCTAATTGACCAAAAATTAGAGGAAACTTTCTGACTTCATAATTAGGTACCAAAAAGACCAAGGCATCCATAGCTGCGATACAGCCGCAACGTAGAGAAAAAAAAAAATCTGAGCATACCTCTTAAACAATTGAAGAAGAAGACGATCAAAGAGAATACCTTAATTTTCATTATTACAGAAACTTGAAGAACTCGAGAAAGATTCCTGTTAGTAAGTGCTGGGAAGCAAGACACAACAAGCACCCCTGACAAATTGTGCTCTTTCGATATGCGAGCGCAAAATAACAGAAATTGGATTAAAAATAAAGCTAAACTCTTCATGTTTCTGATTCTAAGTAGAAGAGAGTAGCGTAGCTGCAAGGTAACAAGTGATTTTTATTGTAAAATCATCTAAATTCTCATTCACACATCGAACTCAAACAACGTAGAGGATAAAAATTACGACAAAGCTGTGTGTGTGTCTTAGGTTCAGGGTTATCTCCAGCCATTTTTCGTTTACTGTTTGTCAGCCAAAAGAAGGGTGACTTAAGATATCAATGTACAGTCATAGAGTAGTATGAGTGATTTTTTTGCAGATTATCTTCAACTTAAGGATAACTCATAAGGTTTATTTAAGTTTTATTAATCACAATATAAACCATGAGGGCTTCCCTTAATGGAAGAAAGATTTTGAGGGTGCCCTCTGAAGTAGGTTAAAAAACAGACAATGCTGTCAAAGCAATATTACAAAGAGTTGAAAAACAGGTTCTCGTCATTGTGACTAGATTCCGAAGCAGATTTCAACTGCGTTTCAGTCATAAATATCTTAGTTTAATTTGGCTGCGTTAAGTCACGGATCATTCTGATCTCTTTTCAGGCTGATTCTAAGGATTTCCGAATCTATTTTCATTCTTAACATGGTAATTCGAACTGGCAAAATGAAACTGCTGCATAGTCCTAAAATTTCCACAAAATCTTCAGAATTTCTGAAATTTTTTTTATTTTGAAACTTAAAATGCTCTAGAAATTTTTCTCAATTAAAAAAGATAACTTTAGGTTGAGATGGGAAATGAATCATTTTTCATGAGCTCAGAACTATGATGCCATGTTTCCCATAAATTCTAAAGGTGCAATATTTTCTGGAAGAAACAAAGTCAGATTCTTAGCGAATCATGAAAAATAAAAATAATTCATTTCCTCATTTCACTAATTCTGTAAGAAATTATGTTTAGAAAACTTGGGCAACAGCCACATTGGACTGATTTACTATCAAAGGTTACGCTAAAACACATACAAATTGAAGGACATTTTTAAAATTTCTGGTGAGATATGAAGTTGTAAAAAAGAGAGTAACAGTCTGGGCTCCAACAAGGAATTAAACACGAATAAAATAAAAACAAAAAATAAAAAATTGATCCAATCTCTAAGGAGAATACTACTAGAATGTCAACTTGTCAAAAATTATTGTGACACCCCTCAAGAGGAGCTCAGATCAACACTACTTGAAAGTCATTATTACTCTTCAAAGTGCTAAAAAACAGGAATTCAGATGAGAAATATTGGAAGATTATCACTTAAAAATGAGAACTCCTAAAATACATGGGGAAGGAATAAGTTATTCGACTACGCAGCTTTGATATTGCATCGGAATATTGCTTTGAGACATTTCAAAGCTTGATAAATTGCTTGATTTAACTAATTCTTACTCTAAAGAAAAGTTACTTTGACCAGTTACATAGTTACAATGAGTCCATAATCTTTCAGACCTCCTTGAAACGTATCCAAGACTCAAGCTATCATTTTAGACTAACTTCTTGGATACAAGTTCCAGTTTGGACAAAAATAAATAAAAATTTATGAATACATTCATAATAATAGATGCAGACTAAAGAGCCAATTCATTTCTAAGACTTATGAGAAATTGATAAAAATTAATTGAGAGAAATAGAAAAGTCTAACCCCTGCGATACTTGCAAAAACGGAGAGAGCAAAAATGATTATTTGTGCTCAGATTCTGAAAGTTAAACCGAGCTTTTAAATGCCACCACATTTTTTCAAGCATAATTTGGTCTCACATTGGGAGAAAAAAAGAGCTGCAAAAAAAATTTACGCTTTGTAAAAAACAAACATCATTTTCTTGATCTGAGGTATAGAACAGACATCTATCTGATGCGCCTCCCTCCCTTTTTCTATAAATTGTGCCGATCTTTTAAACATCATTCAGCGGATGATAAAACTACAGCTAACTTCTGAGCTGAACACTATAAAAATCACAACCGCATAAAATGCCTGACAAAAATAAATGCTGCTGAAAGCTCAGCGAAAAATTGTTGTCAATTTGGAATGTTAGCCAGCAAGGTGGATTTCCCTACTCCACAATATACTTGAAATGACCAGGAAAAATAATATTTCTGGAATTGTCATGATTTATATCGTATGGCGAAGCATGTGCTATCAGAAAATGCTCGTCTGAGAGTTATAAGAATGGAGAGGCCCTTCCTCGGTATTTCCATTGCCTAGAGTTTATGTTATTATTTAAAAAATATTGAAGTATCACAGGGGTTGATCACAACACGTTTTCAATAGCTGGCTTCATGACCTGCTAATATGTGCAAATCAACACCTTCTTCGTTTGTTAGCGTTCCACCAATTTTGACAACTGTATGTGATTCTAAAACGACAACTCTGTGAAAAAAGAAACAACATTTATCCATCAGAAAAATATAAAAAATGGGCATAAGAAAGTTAGTTGTAATGATTTGATATGATAATTTACAACTGGGTTTCTGAGAGCATAGTGAATTTAAAACAACAGAATCGGAACTTAGATAAACCCCTGAAGAATCTGCAGTTGTTCACATGATTTTAAAATGTAGGGCAGGCCACAACAGGCTAGAAAAAATGAAGAATAAATAGGTTCAGTACGTAGGGGCAAAACGTAGTAAATCGACAGCGACACTCTCGAACCTTAAATCTCGGTTTGCGACGTTGCAGACTTCTTGTCATGCTTCATATTTTATACACAGAACTATTCAATAGCAAGTCTTAAAAACTGACATGATTCTTCTTTTCTGGGAGAAAAAAATTCAGTGAAAACTCCATGGATTGATGATTATTTTTCTCCTTTGAAAAATGGCATGGGAACAGAGATTTTAAAACGCTGCAAATGAGATACATGGCTTGAAAGTTTTACCGTCCAAATATTTAAAGACACATTCCTAGGCACCGCACTGGGAGTGCAGATAAAGTGATCCACACAACGTATCTGCACAACTTATTCTTTAAAATTTGTCCACCTGAATTTTAATCATTGCCTTTAAGTTTCTCAGCTGATAGGAAATAATTGGACGTAGTTCTGCCAAACAGAACTATGTGCATTATGATGTGGGCCCTGTTATGCACATATTCTTATGGGTCTCAGAGATCATGCCTTCATGCATATAGTTCCGTTTGACAGAAATACGTCCAATTATAAAGGCGAATCTTACTGGAATCAGTCTAACTAATATAGATCGGGCATCGATTTTTCTCTGCTTTATTTTTGTAACAGAAAACTAAGCGACACTAAAACTTACAATTTTGTGAGGTTATTCTCTAGAACCTAGAGTAAATTTATAGAAAGTTTAGAGGTGTTCAGTAGTTTAGTTCTCTGTTAAAAAAATAAAAAAATTAGAGAAAATTAGGCCACCTGAAAGTTTGGCTTTTTGCCCATATACTGTACAAAAGCTATTTTTATTGCTCCGGAATACTCACTTGTCTGAGCCAAGTAGTCTGTAGATTTTACTCTCGTCCGTAATTTCTTGGGTAACCTCACCGTTTTTGAGACTGCGACCTTGGACACCGTTTTTGTGAAACGCTAATATACTGTCAGGTAACCTCACTGGAGAGAGAAACAAAAAAAATTGACTCGTAAAAAATCACCTCCTATATTTTGAAAAGTTTTCAGCAAAAGCTTTTTTCAACAATATTGTAAAATTATTGTCATGTTTTTCTCACATCACTTTAGTCCTTAACATGCTTACAGTCAAGCTGGTTGTAGTTGGTTGTTTTTTATTGGTTGCGTCAGATAAGAACAGTCACAAAAACAGGCATGTCCTCATCGCACTGCTGAATGCAAATTTTTAAAACGATTTTTTTTTTTCAATTCAATCCAAAATATTTGAGAATTTCGAGGAAAAATATGCATAACTCTCCTCAAAAGTAGACGTTTTATCCAGGGAAATTTGGTGATTCTTGAATGTTCATACGGTGTCCTTCTTTGGCACAGCAGTGCTGCCTGCTGATTTCAGGAAATTCCTGATTTATTTAGAAGATTCTATCAAAGTTCCATAATTCAGATTTCAGATCTAACTCCGAAAATATATCTTGAGAGATTTTCAAACTTTCTACCCGCTCTGAGAGCCTGAATTATGATGGGAGGGAAACCTCAGAATATCATCAATTTTCAGAAGTACAGTAAAAAGAGAGGTTTATTTAAAGGTTTAAGAGAAAGAAGAGTGATCTTTAGAATATTGCAGGTAGTACTCACTGACTGATTCGATTGGAAAATCGAACTGTAATTCGGAGACTTGTTTCCGATTTACTCTCAGTCTTCCTTCTGGGGTTACAATTCTTACTTTATCTGGAAAGAAAAGAAAAAAAGAACATGATCTCTTATAAAGGTCAACAGAATTAACATATTTCTTAATTAATTGTTGTTTGTTTATTATTGAAACAAGGTGCACAAAGGGTAGCAATGCAAAAAGTATCTTAATAATGAACAGTGAATTTCCCTGTTTCATAAATAACATATTATCATCATTGGAGACAAGTTCCTCCAATGTTTTTCGTTTTTGTTTTCTAAGTCTACAAAGCACAACGAGCGCGTGTTTCTAAATCTGATCAATTTCATTAAATTTCGCCACAGGTGAAGGAGGTTTTTCCCGAGAATCTGCGCTCTGCAAAGAATTCTTACTCTCTTTGTCAGAATGGGTCACTAAACAGGGTACGAAGTTTGTTGTCCCCTCGTGAAAAAACGCGACAAAAATTCAATGTTGCCAAATTTTCCCAGGCAAAGTGTTTCTTTTTACCGGAAGAATCTTGGGAATCTCTAACTGAAAGTTACACTGATTTTTCTTCTGATCTCATGCAAAATCAGAAAAGTTTTCAACGAAAATTGCGCAGGTACATTCATGTAAAAAATAAAGTCAATTTTCCAACCCTGGAATTAAGCTAGGCTCTTCTGTCTGGGATACAACAAATTTAGTACCACCATAACTGTGCCTTTGTCAAAATTTTACATAGAATACGATGGACTCATTAAAAACTGCAAACTTCAGATCGGCATACATTCAGATTGGTTTAACATTTTTGGCTGTTTCTTTAATGTTATAAAAAATATCACTAGCGCCTGTAGATACCCAACACCTATTTCCTAGTTTAACACCGTTAAAAATTATGGTGCAAATTGTTGCCAGGGTCAACGGTGCTTCTACAAAAGATGGTACCAATATCTTGATTTGGAATTTATGAGGGATCTTTATTATGAGGATGGTCACATTTACAGGAAAAAACAACAGCATAATCCGAGGAAAGACTACAAAAAACAAAATTCAAAATAATAAAGACAAAAATTAAATGAAAAACAAGTTGATGAGGAATTTTTTTTTCAGCAGGAACGTCCTGGTTTTTCAAAATTAATTATTGTCTTTTATTTTTTGCAACAAACTTTTCCTGGACTGCGTTTGGTTTACTGTGTTTTTTTGCGATTGGTTAATTAACTTGTTAATTATTTTATAGGCTGAGAAGTAACAGGTTCGGATACTTACTATCATAACAAACTAAAATGGCATCTTTTTCAAGTTGAGTTACATTTACAATTTTCATGTTTTCTCTCCTAGGAATCACAGTAGCTGAAACAGAACATTTAGAGTGATCATGAAACATCTTCAAAACCAAGAGTCAACTAAGGACTTCATAAAATTTTACATTTTGAATCTCACGCTGTCACAAATCTCATTAAACTTACTTGGTAGTGATGGTTTGACATAATTAATACGCTTAAAAACAAAAGGTAAGCTTTTCGTAGAATCTTTCAAAAGCTTCAGCACAGTCGGGATGAATATTCTATATTACATTTTAAAACTTTAGAATTTTCAACATTAAAGAACATACTCTTTCTAGACATGGCTTAAGTTCAAAACTATGTATTTTCATAGCAGTGCTTCAAAATTCCCATTTCTATTTTATTTTTCAAAAGGAAAACAAGCCAACTGAGGAGATAGACAATTTTAAAGAATTTTTTGCTGACGGAGTACGAAAATCAAGGCAGTTTTTAAGAAATTCAGCATGACAGGAAGTCTATGATGCCGCAAATAGAGTTTCGCACTTTGTACATCAAAATATCAGTCAAACCTAATGTAAAAGAAGGTAATTGTCAAAAAATATTTTACTCTCCACTGCAAAATTACACGAGATGTAAGAGTCTAAAGATCGCTATAAATTTTAATGATCATCATCCGATTAATGTATTGTTATTTATTGTGAAGATGGGTGATGAGTTTTCTATGGAAAACGTTCTCTGGTATTCCAAAGAAAAAGCTACAAACGGCTGAATGCATTTTTTGGCCAATATCAGGAGAGCAAATGCATTTTTATCACTCTTTTTCTCCCTTTGGAAATAAGAACAGATAGAAATAAAACGATTGCCGATATCTTAAGTTGTTAATAGATAAATTAATTACCAGTGCCGTCCATTTCCTCCAGTTCACTGCTGTGGAACCAGCTCGCTCCAGTGTTCATATTGACTAACTCCAGTTTCAACCGATCAGTCTCGTAAGTTTGCCGTACCCCAATGCATACCATCGGGTATTCCAGCTCAGGAGTGATGATCATTTCGAAGACTGATAAAACGTTTGGTAGGCTACATTCGAAGTGCTACAAGAGAAAAAATATGAAAATAAAATAAAGCAAATGTTTCAACGCTTCTTGAAAAGTATTTGAGAGACTAATAAAAATTGCATCAGGTAGACTTGCTCAGAGCAAATTGAGTGTTCAATCAGGAAAGAAACTGAAATAAATTAAAGTTTAAAGTTAAATAAAGCTAAATAGGTTTTCATGAAAGAAACTTAAATAAACATAAAAGCGAAGTATTCCCTACGATGTTGATTGGAGGATTAGGGCGACTATTATAATAGGCAGACTGAGAAAAAGGACTACGTGCAAAACGGGCCATTTAGGGCTCGAGGCGGATACCTTTGAGACTTGCCCTATTCATTCACCTAACAATGCCCCATCTTTTCCCAAAGTTTCAAGCCCCCCAAAAATTTTGGGGAGACGCGGCGAGGGGTCAAAGTTAAAAACCGGCAAAATTTTCGCGAATTTATTGCTCAAAAACCAAGAAGTTTTGGAAGACGCGGTTTAAACGAGCGTATTTAGCGTGACGAGAGCTTTCAGAAAATGTATAACATCATAGGGTTTTGTCAACTTCAGCTCGAGTTATCGCCTCCGAAGCGCCGGAACGCTCAGAAAAGACCCCTTATTTTTTCACGTTTGGGCCGATTTAAAAAAAAGCCATTTTTTTATTTTGATGAAAAACTGATATGTTGTTCCTGACTCTCTGTAGCCCCTCTAGCTCTTTACCGCATGCTGGGGAAAAGGTTTGGTCGCAAGTTATAAGAGCGGAAAGGAGCGAATGTGGGGAAAATCGGCTATTTTAAACTGCGCGCGGCGACGGATCAAGAGACATGTGGCAACAATGCGAGGTCGGCAGAGGAGTATGATCCGGCGAACTGAGTGGGAGGGGACGTTTTCCCTCCGATCAACGCCGCGCGGGCAGTTTAAAATAGCCGATTTTCCCCACATTCGCTCCTTTCCGCTCTTATAACTTGCGACCAAACCATTTCCCTAGCATGCGGTAAAGAGCTAGAGGGGCTACAGAGAGTCAGGAACAACATATCAGTTTTTCATCAAAATAAAAAAATGGCTTTTTTTTTAAATCGGCCCAAACGTGAAAAAATAAGGGGTCTTTTCTGAGCGTTCCGGCGCTTCGGAGGCGATAACTCGAGCTGAAGTTGACAAAACCCTATGATGTTATACATTTTCTGAAAGCTCTCGTCACGCTAAATACGCTCGTTTAAACCGCGTTTTCCAAAACTTCTTGGTTTTTGAGTAATAAATTCGCGAAAATTTCGCCGGTTTTTAACTTTGACCCCCCGCCGGGTCTTCCCAAAATTTTTGGGGGGCTTGAAACTTTGGGAAAAGATTGGGCATTGTTAGGTGAATGAATAGGGCAAGTCTCAAAGGTATCCGCCCCGAGCCCCAAATGGCCCGTTTTGCACGTAGTCCTTTTCCAGTTAGTAATTCCTGAGCAAGAATTCTTGTTGAGTCAATCAGAAATCTCTTTAAAGTGACAGGACATCTTTTTAAATAACAGAAATACCGTTTGAAATAAGAAGATTTTCCATTGAGTCAATGAGAACTCTCATCAGAGAATTACTCATTGGAATTTCTTTTAATCTGACAGAAAATTTTTCTCCATGTAAAATTTTAACATCATCATAAAACTACGACTCAAGATCGGTGCTCTTTACATGGTCCCAGGTCTAGGTCCCACCATGAGGGAGAACGCAAAAACTGGGAAGAAAAATCTAATAGGAAGGTTGATATTCTTCTGAAGACAGAATTTTTAATGACAGCTTACCTTTAGAAGCATGAATTTATTTAGTGGGTCATACCACTGCATGAGGAAAATTCCAGAGGGCACGGCTCCACAAAGATATTTGTAACCGTTGTAAGGGTTCCGGCCAACACAGCATTTCGTGCAACCTTTGGTTTCGGGTACTTTTGTAGTTAGAGCAAATTTGCGTGGCACTAATCGCTCTGGGATTTTATTCATGTGAAGTGAAAATCTATGGCTTTGTTTACTGTGAAGAGCTAAGAGATCATGCCTGTATAAGGAGGGAGTTTTTCCTGCAAAAAATAAATTATGATCGAATAAATATTTAAATTTACGAATACATAATAAACGTGAAGAAACCAATGAGAAAATTGATGTACATATGTGACTGTTTGAGGGAAAAGAGACCTTAGTAAACGAAAGTAAACTATTTAGGGAAGTGATTTTTGTCAGGTTAATGCTAAAAATGAGATCATGAAATTTCGGCAAAAAACTATCTTCAGTGTCCGGATCATAAAGTTGTGAGAAGCATTTCGTGTCCTGAACATGTCGGACTAGAATTTCAAATAGCTTTTCCTTGAAACTACGTTTTTTTAAACTGGATATTTCCTCTTAGCCTCTTGTAAAGAAAAACGAAGATCTTTAAAAACCTGCTGATCTGCAGCAAGTATACTGTCAGTGGTAGGTAAAAGTTTAGGTCCTTAATTCGCCACGAGTAGACTTTAGTTTCAGGCGTACGGGAAGCTTGAATTGACATACATAAAAAATGCTCGTTTCTCATTTAAAAATTGAAATTAAAAATGTTCAATGAATCAAACACATTCCACTTAAAATTTTGATGCGAAAACACTTATTGCAAAATTAACTTCCTAACTTTCACTGGTTGAATACATCAACTGAAACTTGTGCTAAGAAACAAATTTTAAGGCAATCTTGAATGGTTTATGTGATTCTCGTGCTTTGACTGAGAATTCCTACCTGATAAAGACATTAAGACATTTTTTATAACATATAACCACACGGTTCTTCTGTTGTACAGCTGATCAATGGCCGTTTCATGAAGCTGATTCAAGTTCAGGTTATAAATGCCTTCCTCAGCCCCGATGAGGATATGCTGATCACGAGTGTCTGGATGAATCCAACTTGCAGTGCAGTTTATTCGCAATGGGCATCCATTGAATACCTGAGAAGAAACAGCATCATTCATAGTTTTAAAATTTCGGACAATCTTTTCCAACAAAACACTTTCTTCAGAAAGCCTCTAGGATTCACTCTTTTCCAATGTTTGAATATTTAAAGAGGTTTCTCTTATCTTTGGCCACTTAAATTTTTGATTTGTAAATTTTCTTTCTTTCTAGAGGACATAGCTTTATAATGTGATTTATTTCGTAGCGCCAACAACTTATAGTACCATAATTTAACCGTTTAAAAAAAGTTTCTGTCAAATTAAATTCCCTTTGATAAAAAATTGAATAGGGAATGAGTTCCTTAAAAACCTTCCAATATCAAAGGAGACAATGAGGACCAAAACAGAATTTAAAAATGAACCCTGCACTGAGGACCAAAAGTTTTGATGTTGACTAAATTTTCTTATAATTTGATATGATGTTCATTACAACGTACTGAAGAATTTCTTAATATCAAACCTCCTAGGTACCAATTTCGAAAAAAACAGATCTAAGCTGTGAATTTCTCTGCATTTCAACACAGAAGAACCAGTAGAAATGTAGATAGTCGAGGGGGGAGGGCCCCCCTTTTCATGCTGCGCAAAAGCGGGGATGATAAGACGGATGCTGCATCAACCATTTCAAAACACCAACTTCAGCATGATGGATGGGGGGGAAAAGGTTGATAATTTCAAGTATATTCCTGGCTGATTTTGCGATAGCAAGGAGTGTGAGTGAACCAGGAATGGTTGAGACAGCCAGAGATGTAGCTGATTCAATCATACCTCTAGCTGGTGCAATAAAAATTCTGGCTGACACCAAAATCAGCCAAGATATACATCGACATTATCATCCTTTGTTTCCCAAAGACACAGCAGCGGTGTCACATCTCAGTAGGAAAATGAGGAAATGGAAATGTAAGATTGTTATGACGTAATACTTTCATTCATAACTGGGATACTGATCCATCATATAGGCAATTTTTGAAGGAGCAAAGATATGACTTACTTTAGAGAAGCATGCTCCCATAAGAACCTTTGGTGTTGGTGGAAGTCCGTTGCTAATTGCTCGCGGTGGACTGAGCTTTTTCCGTTCACGATCTCGTCTCCTTGGTGGAACTGGTGGAGTGTCTGACAAGAGATCTGGATCTGGAGTGTCTTCTCCTGTAACAATGCAAGCATCAACAATAGAAATGATAGAAATTTAGAATAATAGAAACTTATTTGATATAAAAATATGTCATATTAGAAAATATATTATAAATATATATTTTATTAGAAAATCATTTAATTAAGACCACTGAAGTTTGTTTGGTGCCTGATATGACCCAATTAAATTTCCGCTTCATTATGATGGGCCATCTCCTTAAAGGGCTTTGGGAGGATAGGGGACTTCAGCGGCTAGGTGTCGCAGAGTGCTTCAGAGCTCTATAAAAGCGGCTTCATATATATACATTATGATAGGGAAGTTTGAATGAATAACTGAAAAAGGTAAGCATTGAAGCACAATTAGATATGTTCTCTCTTCAGCGTTTCACATAGAACACAATAAAATCATGGAGGATTTCCAAAATCAACCATGAGTTGAGCATAAATTGCGTTGTTTGTTTTGTTATTTTTAACTGGCTATTCAAAACAGACTAATCTAGTATTTCCAAAATTTACATTACTCTAATCTGTTTAAAGTTTTAAGACTAACGGCAAATTAAGAACTTAAAAACTTAAAACATGAATGAACAGAGCAGGCAAAAAATATGCACAAATACTTGTCAATATAATATTAATTTTAACTAGTCACAAACATTGATTATTTTAAGAGCAAACAACACGTTAAGAAAATAAGCAAATGAATATTATGATATGCTTACTTACGTGAGTAAAATAATTATGGAAAATAATATGACGCAGTTTTAACACTGATGAGTGAGGACAAAAAATGAGATGAGAAAATGACAGATTCTTTTACTAATGGGATTTTTTGAGGTTTCAGGATAATTCATTACTGCTTGCGGTGGAATAGATTTGGCTTGTAAAGCCATCCTACTAAATTTACATCTATACAGTTTACTTCAACATTTTTATTTATCAAAGCCAGAAAAGCGGAGAGCAGAATAGAGAGTATATATATACATAGAGGATTGCTTATAGGAGCCTCCCAAAAAGATGCACCTTTTCTCAGGAGTTTGGGAAATTCATTTAAACCAAATTAAAATGAAATCTTGTAAAGAAAAGAGCAATACAGCAGTGCCAGGTTTACATTTTAAACACAAAAATATACGCTCTTTCATCTTGAGCAACGCAAACTTTGCAAAACTGTGGCACAAAACCAGCTTTGAAATCGAACCAAAACTTTTATCGGGGGCTTATTCCATAATGAGGTTTCATATTAGCAACACACTGATGAAATTCCCAGGTTCCCTGCAGGGAGGCGAAAAAGACCCTTTTTCAGGAGGCTCTTTGGAGACATTGCTCAGAGAGAAAAAAAAATTACAAGAAACCAACATTGAAACATACCATTAGTTGCACTATCTTTATCTTTAGAACTACTGTCGCTGAAAGATCGTTGGCGCTGTCCATTCATTGTTAAGGTCCCTGTCAAAGTTAGGATTTCATCCACAGAACTATGCCTCCGCGGAGATCCATCTTTACCTGAATTGATAACAAGACGTAAGCCTTAAGCACACATGAATGCCACTGCCATGAGTGCCCATTGTTGTAATCTGGTCTACCGTAGCGACCAAGCACAAAGGATTCCAGACTTAAGTAACAGGCAACTCACGATCAGTGCTTGATTTTAAAAATTAAAATAACCATTCAAAAGCTGAAGTAATATCCTCCCTGACATGAATTTGAAGATTCCAGGAAAGGTGATTTCTGAAAGATGGGGTGCTCAAGTCTACGGACATTTACCCTTCATTTCATGGTCTTTTTTAACATGACAAAATTTGTGTACAAGCTTGCAAAATATTCAGCTCAGTTCAGCTGACACCTGGATACACCAAGTGAATGATCAATTGGACATCACTAAACTAACAGGAATCTACAAGCGCCATTTTATAAGAAACACAAATAGAACTCGCTAGTCACAAATGGTTGACTAAAATGTGAAACTACATATCTCCATTTGCGATATAGCAGCCTTCCTGGAATATTTTATTTCTTCTTTGGAAAATTAGTCAATGAAATTTCCAGGAAATTTCCTGATTTTTCTCCTCCAGTAGCAGAATATTCTGTATGAATTTCAAGTCATGAAGTTGGTTTGAAAATCATCAGTTTTATCCTTATGGCTGAAGTTGGCTCTTCGAAAAAATCAAATAGGAGCGAAAATTCTGAAATGCCGTGGTTAAGAAATGTGGTTTCGCAGTTTGGCCATCGAATTGGATTTCATGTAGTTGCACACTGTTTCCAAAAAGCCAATCAAGTAATTCCTGTTTTCTCAATAATGCTTAATTTTAACTGAAGATGAAACATAAGTGAAAGCACAAAATAAAGGGAAGCTAAAAAAGAAAGTGAGTTTGCAGGAACACATTAATGGACGATTTCAAAACGTGCTTCTAAACGGAAAGATTCTACTAACGATTAACGTCATAGAATACGGCAAAAGAAGGCAACAAAATTATATGCATTTTGCGCAGAAAAATACAGTGAGATCCTATTCTGCAATTAATTTTATTGCATGGATGTGTAGGAAATGAACCTCTCCACAGGATAGGAATTCAAGCAGCGCAAGATACTGATAGCCGAAGTGCAGAACTATGTATCTTTATTACAATGTATCTGGAGCAAAAATTGAGTATTTAAGAAGTCTGAAACGTTGCCAACAGAGATACGTGTTTTCGCACTTTAGTTATTGATATGCTCTTTTAACAAAATTTCACACGAAACTCTACGTTCCAAAAGTCCAAAAGTGGAGAGAGGAATTATTTTTTGTAAATCACCTTAGAATCAAATTAAAATTAATTTTTTACAGAAAAACGAGAATTGCAATGAAGTTTTCGGGTTTTTTTTGCAAAATTGTGGAAATTTGTGAGTAAAATAATTTTAAAGCTCTTTTTCAACTTATATTATTATCTGGAGCATTCGAGTTCGCCAGTGCATTATTGTGCAGAATATTGAGTTTTCTTTGCCTGGGATTGCAGTACCTACACTACTGCGACTAATATGCATTCACTATTTAGATCTGAAGCCTTGAATACAACCAGAGAAAGCAAGGAAAAAACTGAGCAGGGGCCGCGAAAATAGCCAATGATCAGGGTGCAAGAGGCGGGACTTGAACACTTTCCACTCTTGACTTGAATTAATCTGATGAAAGAAAAAGAATAATTCCCTCCTGATGAAAAAATTTCACCCTGTTGTTATATTTTTATGCTGAAATTTTTGTGAAAGAACTTATGTATTAATTTCAAGTCTGCAAAATTCATCATAGTTAAAATACAGGGCGATTTGATAAAAACATCAATATTTAATGCTTTGGGGCCATCCATAAACTACGATAGACACTGTTCCTCATTTTTAGATCCTCCCTCTTCCCTCATAATTAATTTTCTCATGAGCCCTGTTCTCTGTACGCCTCTTAACTTTCTGAGGCTCATATGGGAGCAAAGATAGGTCCTTACATCAGAGGGGCAGCGTAATGATCCACAATAAAAAAGTCTGATCTTAACACAAGAATTGACTCTCGAAAGTTTTACTCATAATCCTGAGTTCCTTTATAAGCTACAGTGGAAAGCATTAAGTAATTACACCAAACACTTGCATAAACTACTTCCACTACTAGCCAAAATTCCGATGCAAAAACACACACAACAGCGTCTGAATGAGGAGATAATTTGATGAATGAGAAACTTACCTATCATATTTCCGAAACTATTTTTATTATTACTATGTTTCTTTTGCTTATCGTTGGAGTGACTAGAGGTTGAAGATTCTCCCATTGGTAATGTTGCTCTGCAAAATATAAAAAAAGGAAATCACATTAAAATTTCATTTACACAGTTGGATTTTTTTCCTCCCACAACAAGACCAATCCAAAACTTTGGACTGGATGATAACTATGAGTTACATCATGAATAAATTAGACAATCATACAAATTGTTGACTTTTTGCAGAGTGAATGGAAAATTAATTGAAACAAAATGTAGCTTAATGGGTGTAACATAACTAACACAATGCTTGATAAGAAACTATCAAAATTAATGCAAGGAAAAAACTTTCAATTTAAAGTACAATGGTCGCGAAAAGACATTGTTGAAAGCTTCTGTACGACAGCGTTAAAAAATGTAAAAGATAATGACCAAAGCAGCAGATCTTTTGGAAAATCACAAATCGACGGTGAAACTGCAAAAATACTTTTCTCGACTGCAGTGTTTAAAAATCTTTGCTCCTATTTCATTTTTAAAACAGTAAATTCAGCCAACATCATAGCTTGAAACCACAGGACATTCCTCACAATGAGAAGAAAAATCACCAAGGTTTTTGAGAGATGATGTCGAATAGTTTTCCATGGAAAAAAGGATGTAATGTCGTGAACCAGGAACACATTTCTGCAGTTCCACCATCGAAGTATAGGAATGTCAAGGATAAACGAAAGAAATGAACTTTCAAAAGCATTTTAAACTTTTAAGAACGCAGATTGGAATTCTTTTATCATTTTATTGAAAGCAAAGTTTATTTTTATCATTAAAATGCCTTTGAGTTGATTTTTAGTATTCTTATTCCTATGATATTCTTGAAAAAAACCATTCTCATCATTTCTCATTAGTCTCAGTAAGTCTTCTAAAAGATTTACGATAAATCACAGTTGTTTGTTGATGGAAGAGAAAACTACTATTAAATTAAATGTTTTGAAGAAATAAATTTTGCACCAGGTTGACGCAAAACTAGCCCCTTGGTGGAAAAATCAGTTTCTTCAGATACAGAATTTTTATTGAAGATACATAAAGGGAGTTACAACAATACAAGGCCATGCGACAACTTGACGACTGGAATAATTTTAAAAACATATTTTTAAATAGATATTTGATTTTTCAATGCCTGGTATTGCGTCTGTTTGCTTATTAATATATATATATAGAGCATACATGAGTACTTGATGTGATTCATTTATGCATTGTTTTCATAGCTTAGAGCTAGTGAATTGCGACTGAATTTCACCCAAGTTGCGTTATTGGGGGACAGGAGAAAACCTCTTTGGCAACCTCATGGCTTGGAATGTGATTTTTTACTTTCTGTATTATATGCGACTGTCGATGGCAACAGCTGCAGATTTTTTCAAACAAGAGGACCCTCTACTTGGTACTTGGAAAATGAAAATTAATTTATCATTTGTTTAATGCAATTCTATGACTTAACAGTCTATAATTCAGAGGATTTGGGCAAAAGATCTTATCTGCATTCCTATTTGATGAAAAAACTAATGTAAATTATTATTTTCATGAAGAAATGCAGATGGACTTTTTTGGGCACCCAAATTATTTCAGTAAATCAGTTTTTTAGTGGGTACGTACACAACCAAATCTAACTGCGACGAAAATAGCACACTATTTGATCCATGCGCATTCAAATAAATGTGGAGTATTTTTACAACAGGGCGCTTTACATGATTTAAAAAAAAAAAAAAAAAAAAAAAAAAAAAAAAACAAAACTCATTAGAGCTCAAGAACCGGACAGCTAAAACCAAGCAGGAAAAAAACGCGAGCAAGAAGAAGGATTAGTATTTTGCATGCAAAATGTTAGTGTTTAAAACAAAAAGTTGTGGTTCAAGATAAATGCTACTTGGCGGGGGATAATATGGTATATCCTGCAAAATTTGTGATTGGTGTTGTGAAAAAAATTATTTTGAATATCCTGATAGCAACGACTGTTAAAAGAAACTTTAAAAAAACTTGTAAATTTTAAAGAGACAGCTCTAAAAAATACTGTTAAATGAATCGTTTGGAGAAACCCTTTCTGGATCTTTTTTAAGTAAAATTTAAATAAAAGAATGTAAAAAAAACTCTTAAAATATAAACTGTAATTTTTCTAGTTTTTCAACACTAAAAATGCGAAAAAAATGCCGAGGCTCTTAAAAAAAGTAGTCTATTTAAGGACTTTTATGTGAATTTCACTCACAATCAGAAATAGCCAAAAAGGGTTTCCAGGAATTGTAAATTTAACAGATTCTTAGGTTTTTTTACAAATAGCTTCTTGAGGGTCATTGCTAAGTTAAACTTATGCATCTACGTTAGTAGATATTCTCATTAAGTTACTGGTGTTTAGTTTAACTGACTTGAATATTAATAAGCAAAATAGATACCCGCTGCAACAAGTGCCTTATTCAAATTTACGCCCAATGAATTTTAAATTTTAGAGTGGGATTACTGATTGAGAGTGATGTGAGAAAAAATTGCGAGGCCTGAATAGTTTCAGTTATTCTAAGTTTGATGATCTATCCCCCTACTGAGACTAATTGGTGCTTTGTCTCTTGCAGTAGGTAATTAGCACTTTCATCAAAGTCTGATGGGCCGCCTGCACTTTACACAGAATCAAGTTTCGATTATTATACTTCGAGTTTTATAAAAGAGCAGTAAGTTATTATTTACTGCTATCTGTATCTGTTATCTATACATATTCCGACAAAAGTATTACAAGCGCCATTTAAGCTCAGGCATTTTGTTGCCCAACTTCTTAATTTTTCAAATTCTTTGGATACCAATTGATGAATAGAATCACTTGAAAATTTTGCCCAATATTTCATCTGTCATCAAGATTTAATAGCGCATCAAGAGTTTCCCATTGACGCACCAAAAAATGCAACAGGTCTCTACAAGCTTGACGTAGGGACTTCATTTCTTCTTTCTTTATTTTTTTTTTTTAAGAGAAAATAATACTTACTGAGAGGAGTAAATTCCATCATGAGCGAGCAAAGTGTGACCCCTGACCACAGAACAACCATTTCAGTTACCACATTGATAAAATCGAAAATCATACATACAAATTTTTCACAAACTATGCATAAAAAACATTGTGATCATCATAAAACCAGCTCGACTACAGTGACAAAAATAAACTTTTCTCCAAGTTTAACAGAGACGCACCAAAGTTGAACCCAGAAAAGAGGTTCGCAGTTTTATTCCTCCATAAGACTCAATGTTAAGGACAAAGTTTATCAACCATATTCACATTCAAAATATTTTTTTTTTGACATTGAATTTTTGACGGGGGAAAGTTTACAGCTGGTTAGATTCAAATTACTCCCAACTCATTGTATCTCAAAATGTGATTTAGTGCGTTCCTTTTAAACTCTATTCAATTCTTATGCCTCAAAATAAAAGCAAAAGAGGCTCCAAAACTGACACATCACAATGCGCGCCATGCAACTCGACAAGCAACTGCAAAAAATCACAGATGCTGTTTATTGTAGAATTAAAATTAAAACGACAAATTTTCTACTCAGCGAAAAAAAATTGCACGACTAACTGCCACTAAAAAATTGATATGTTGGTGCGAGTATCAAGGACAAGACATACTACTTCAAGTGACTCTGTAACGGCAGGGTCACTAATTTGTGAGGACCGTTTTTCATGCTACACATGGAAATATTCATTGGGAGATCATTTTGGACAAAGATCTTTTGTAAGGTTAATGGCGATGACTTTTTAAATCTGTTGGAAATTTCTTTAGAGAACTCTTGAAATTTAGGAAGTAAGACATCTTTTGGTACAATTTTATTGTAAAAATTTATCAAAAATTTGAAATAAAATTGATCTCAAAACTCTGTTGAACCAAAGAGACAGTCAGCATTATTTATAATGTGATGACATTGCACTTAAATTACAAAATATAGAACTAAAAAATCATGGACTAATTTTACATAGACTTATTGTAATATATACATTAAAAAAAATGCAACTTCCCACTTTTGCGTAAAGGTTAAACAAGAATTACCAACTCCAAAAATTTGAAGAGCACTCAATTCTCAGAATTGAAGAGTGTTTCAATAGAACATTTAATAGTCATTGCCATTTGAGTCTGTAAAAAATCAGCATCATTGATTTCACTCCTTCTCCTTTGACATTGCCCTGATCATTACTTAAAAGATTTTTTGGACAGAAAGAGATACATTGTCAGTTAAAAGAAATTTGATTGACTTGGAATGACTCGATCAATATTGACACAGTGAAAGCATTACCCATTAATTGCCCAAGCATAAGTAAGTACCTTGGATTTTATTTTCACTTTGAGAACAACAGACAAAATTATAAAGATAGTTTTGATGTATCTATTTTCATCACAATTGAGTCTCACATTGAGCGAGTATTAAAAAAGGGAAGTGAAGTCAAGAGTACGAGGCATTTTTTTAAATTCTGAATTTTGGCAGGAGAGTTGGGCACCATTTCGAAGAAAAAAAGCAAAAGGTTTGTATAGTTTAGAAAGCAATAAAATCAGATCATACCTCTGAATAAGCTCTTCATCTATGTACTGCAACAAACTCCTGTTAATGGCAAACCAAAATAAAAAAAAACACACTCGTAACAAAGTTCATGCAAAAGTTATGAGACTGTAAATAAATAATCGATCGAAAGGAAAACAAAGAAAGATCAGATGGGGAAAATATTTTAAAAAAATATAAAAAAAAACCCCATTAATTCTGACGGGAGCAAGAGTTATCATCTGCTCACCCAAATTATTTATTTCAACTTCCGAACTTGGCGAGCAAAGAATGTTGGCCACTTTTTGCATAGTATTTAGTAATATTCGCTGTGCCTAAGTTACCATGTCCTAAATTTTAAATATGTGTGTCTTGCATCAACTTTGGATGGAGAAACATGCCTTGTTATACCAAAATTACCCTGTACAGTGATCTTTTGGACTGAGCTCAGCAGATAGTTACCAACCATACACAAACTGAGTTATGAGCGGCTCTGACCTGAGCGCAGTGTATTTTCTTCTTCAAGGTAGGATGTAATTTTCTCTTGCCAGAAAGTTAAAACTAGAGAAGAATTTTTGGTACTTGCCCGCCGCACTATATCAAAGTTAATTTTTTGCACTAAGTCTTCTAAAACAATTGAACTTTGAACATCTTGACCCGTTTTAATTTAGATGATAATACAGAAAAAAATGGAACCGATTTTTCGGCTTATATAAGACAGCACCTACAAAAGCAAAAAAAGTTGGTTCTCCTTCATGTGATGCTGTCCTGGTAATATGATCGGTTTCTTTCTGCAGAATTCAGTTTGACTAAATTGACTGCAACAGATAGATTTCTGCATTCTTCAATATTATTCCAGCTTCATTTGGAGAAAACCGCTCATAACTTTTCAGATTATTTCAGTAAGCAAAATAAATTGAAAAGGGTCAGGTTCAGTTTTTGAGTCAGAGGCATCTATGATATTTTCATCAGAGTATGGATATGTACATGTACAACGTACATAAGCTTCCACAGGAAAGAGGAATTCATCCCATTAAGGAAAATATTTCAGGACAAAGATTTTTGTTGAAAGGATAAAGATGTTCAGATTTGAGTTTTTGACAGGAAATAATCTCTGTCAGTTTTCAGAAGAATAAATTTCTAGGGTTCAGGTTCTTTCTGCCAATAGCGGGCGTGAAGATGATTAATAATGTAACAATTTTGATTTTTGCATATACGACAGTTTAAATTTTTAAAATTATGTTTCTTTAGGTGAAAATTTCAAAATGTCATAACTCCAGTTTAGTTTGAAGTGAGTGTTTCACTTTGTAACAATGTTTTTAAAATACTCCTCTCAGCAAGGATATCAATAATATCTCAATTTCAAGTTTGTGGGCATTTAAATCCTTTTCCCCTCAACCACCACAAATGAAAGAAAACTATCTCTTCCGACAACTGCATAAGGATGCCGAAACAAAACACCTACTTCCCATAAATGATGATTTCTTCCCTTAATGCAGTAGAAGCAATTACTCAAAACAACCTCTGAGAAATTAAGGGTGTTCTATGCAAGGTAGGGCTTACTTTCTCCTAAAGTAACTTCGTTTCAAGGATACCTGGACTACCTTTGTATTAGGACTATGAATATAAGTTTTACCGAATTTAAACTCATAGAACCCTTCAAGAGGTTAAGTTTTTCTTTAGAGAAGCTAATTCATCAAAATTATACAAGCATTTAGTTGTCAGCCATATCTATGGCCCAAGTGTAAAATCACGTACCTCCATTGCAGAGTTTCAAAATTTCAGCTCTTATCATATTTTTTCGAAAAGAGAGGCCAATTTTAAGGCTTGAGATTTATACAGAAATATATTTTGCGAAAAGAGAAGAAAATTCAAGGAGGTTTTCAAGAAATTAAGTTTAATGGGTGTCTAAAGAAAAAATGAAGTATGATAATAAGTCTGCAACGTTGCTAGCGGAGTTTTGATATCATGTAATGTTTCAAAAGGCAGAGTTAAATTTCTATTTCAGTCAGGACGATGCCTGATCTATCATTCACGTGTAGCAAAAATGAATTCAAAGTTAAATAACAAGTTAAACAACTAAGTTAACAAATAAAAGAGTGTGTAGTGTTTGTCTTCAGTAAAAAAGGAAATTGCAAAATGAAGTTATTTTTGACAGCTGAATAGTAATGCTGCAAGACTGGACAAGCTATGAGTGTGATTTATTATGCAAGAGGTCCTTTGATGGTGGACATACTCAAATTTTTGAATATGAAAATAGTCTATGTTCATATGAATTTCAAGGTGGAAAAATAAAAATAGTACAGTTCTCTATGCATTTAAATCCTTAGTTTTATTGACTAAAAATGATAAATCAAATACTTTGGAAAACAGCGAGTACGGTTCGAAGAAAGAAGGTACCTATGACAGAGTTGGCTAGGATCACAAAAATGTAAGACATCGATAATTTCTTGAATTTCTAATAAATTTACCAAGTCGATCTTTTAAAAATTTGTTGAAAAGCTAAAACACAAAAAAAGAGAAATGCTAAAAGTTGATCGGCCTTTTTATACAAACACAGAAAAAACTTTTCATTGAATCGGAAGGTAAAATTGCTTTCTGTTAGAAAATAATTTTTCATCAGTCCATACGCAGTATGGCCGTGATTAAAAAATGAAAAGGAATAATTATAAAAAAATTCTATATCAACAACGAGGTAAGTGCTTCTAAAAAGGTAGTCCTTTCTTCCATTTTCAATTCTATCACAGAGGAATCGAAATAAACAGACGTTAATTGCACATTACACTTTTCCGCAGCCTGCTCGAAAGCTTTCCCAAAGAAACTCTTGCCCGAGTCCTCTAGAATCGGAGGAACTCCTGTAATGAGGCAAGTTGATCGTTCTACATCATGGGGCAAAGATACAATTAAAGGCATAGTAGCTGCTTTGCGCGCATGTGACACAGCCACATAAGACTCTAGAACGTAATACGCCAAAACAGGGAGAAGGTGGGGGTGCGAAAAATATTGAGAATCCGCAGTTCCTTCGTTCAAAATCAGGCAGTAAAATGGACCAGTAGCTTTGATTTGCTTCATCTCTATTGCGTTTTGAACTTGACGAAACAAAGCGATCATCAGCTTTTTGGCTCTGCTGATTCCACTTTCTAGCAAGTCTCGTTTCACTCTGGCGAGAGCATCAAAGGCTTCTAAAAAACAATCAGTGAAAGATTTTTCTCTACTTGGTCGACTCAGTAGTGCTAGCAAGGAATAGACGTAATCAGAGGCAGCGTAACGAGATGTGTAACCATAGCTAAGATAAAATGAAGGAATCACTAAATGAGGAAGGTTATCTCTCACTGACACTTTGTTCATCATGGTCATGAACTCGTTTCGAAGACTTAAATCCATTGTGCTAAATTTCTGCTTACTTTCGACAAGAGGCATTCCCATTTCTGCTAGCATTTTATTCAGCCTCTTTTCACCTTTAATGGTCCAAAGCTTCAAGTTCACAGCAGTGTATCTGGAGTAGCGTATGCTGGACTCAATGGTCCAATGGCGAAACAGGGCTAGATTGAGATCATCATCAGAGGTTATTTTGAGAATTGTATTACCGGAGGATGTGTCGAATGTATTGGCAGAGTTGAGGGAATGTGTATCATCATCATTATTGACATGTAATCTATTGCAAATGCGGCTTACGTGCGAGTACATGGTTGTGGTAGTTAAATCCAAATATTTGTTATATTCCATTTTATTCAGAATGTACTGTTCAGCAATTCCAACTACTGCCCACCAAAGCATGTCCACACAGTCTTTATTCAATTTCCACGCCAGATCATACATAACTAGAGCACTGGGTTGGGAGTAGTACGAATGCTTTGAATAGTCAAACATGATTGATTTGCGGTTTTCTTGCCAGATCTTCTTCTCTCTTCGCTTCAGGAGTGCCTCTTCATCCATTCGCATTCTCTTGTTGATAGCCGCCTCACTTTCCGAGTCATCAGACTCACTATTAGAACCTTCGCTCTCTTCGTCATCTGAAAATATAGCTTCAAAATCTGGAATGTTCTCATCCTCATCAGGTTCCGTCAACAAACGGACGTGGGCGGTACTATAAACGTTGTAAACATCCGTTGGCCGGTGACTGTCCACAACGAAGAAAACAACTTCATCTTGAGGGTCCAGCAGTTCAACCAGATCTATGGTGCCACCACAGTTCACAAAAATAATATACTTGATTTCATTGCAGTGCTGCTCGTAGCACCTCTGCAGATCTTCCACCGTTTGTACCGGACACAAGGTGTAGATAATGTTATCGCATCTGAACAGTCCTTGAAGTATTTTGGCTGCACATAGTCCGTCGATATCATAATTAACTATCAATAAAACCCTCTCTTTCTTTATCAGTCGATAAAAGTCATTGATAAAGTCGCGCACAAACATTTCGGTTCAATGGCATGACAAGAGGAACTGAGCAGTCACTTCACTATTTCACGAAAACGTGGAACTTCCGGGGGGAAATAAGCTTAGCAAGAGAATTGAAATTTTGGGTGCACTAATTCAACTGGAATGCATACGAAGAGGAGCTGGTATTTAAAAAGGGAGAATTATTTCTTTTCCCCAAGTAAATCTATTGTTTACACCACTTATCACGATTTCCCGCTTCTTCTGATAAAAACCTAACCTCAAAATCTCTTATCAACGTTGGCAACTTTTGATGGCTGATGCGCGCGCGACCGCGACTAATCCCCGCGAATTTCAAATGAACGATCAGTACCCGCTATTGACGCGAACTAACTGAAATCCTAAGGCTATTCCTTGAAACGTCTTTTATTCTTTGCCTCTTGAGAAACACCTTGAATATTAAGATTTCTCAAAAATGCCCTGAAAGATCCCTGAAGCCCGGAAGTTTCAAAGAACATGTCCAGCCATCATCACACTCGCGCTACTTGCACTAAGATAAGGAAGAGAATTTGTAGCAAAAGCAAGAAAAAAATAAGAAGAAAAGAGAAAGAAAAAACTTTCTGGAAGCAGGAAATAATTTGCTGTCCTGTATCAAATAACAATGGGTGCTGTCATAGCACAAATCCAAACGTGATCATCCTTATCGCATAGGTATCGAGTTTTTGTACCTACCCCTCATGCATATCTCTATATTCTCATCTAAAGGTTCCGTCATAAGATATTTGAAACTGATATTTTTCCCAGTATAAGAGATGAAATTGCTATTCAAATTTATCTAATAAAACATTTGCAGATTTTCTATTTTTTTTTCAAACCAGTTTTCCTCATCTGCATTTAGGGTCGCTAACTTAAGGGCTGAGTCTTCGATGAGTCAGTGAATTGGGAATGAATAAAAGCGCTACATTACAATTCATATTTCTGCTAGCTGTGACGAGTTATTGTCTATAACTCTCTCTGGGCCCTGGAGGGCATGGAGGTATGTACAAAACAGGGCCTATATGAAGACTGTTCTCAAGTAAGATGTTAATTTCCTTGCAGAGCAATAATGTAACCTCTTCAAAATGTCACAGAATAAGTTACAATATTTACAGAAAAGTTGGGAAACATTCCAACCCTTCACTGTAGGCATTCTTTAATTTAAATTAAATCCATGCTAATATCAGTAGGTGCAAGCGGATCAATGCAGAAAGAAACCAACTCACACAGAATTCACGGATTTAAGATAAAGTGGGAGGCAGAATGTAAAGCCTCCATATAAATCAACAATAGATTCACAGCTCATTGTTACATGACTGAGATGAAACAGGTTTCCCTTCTCATCTCATAATAGGCATATTGGCACATTAAGGATAGGAACCAGCTTAAAAGTGCATTGAATGAATGAAATTGATGGAGGAGACACTGGACAAATGCAGAGTAATTAAGGGACAGACACTATATTGAAGTACGCGGAGTACATCACAATAAAAAAGAATGAAAGGGACTTAAAACTGAGACGCCATTATATGGAATCCTCGAGAATGACAGGTGAAAAAATACACACCACAGTGTGCAAACACGGCACGAACTCCTCGACCTTACAAATGGTTCAACAATCATAAAATCTGTGATTGGTTGACTTCTATTGCTGAGCTTATCAGCATTGAACTATGTTAATCAAAAAATTAATGATGTGTACCCTGATAACTGATAAAGAGAATGCTGCCTCAATTTCAAAGAATGATGGAAATGGGAGAAAGACTGAAGAGAATGATGTGAATAGAAAAAATTTATACAGAAAGATTCTAAGTGCGTTTAGGTACAGTAAACCTTGGATAGTTTGAACTTGGATTATCCAAACTTACCATTAGGAAAGCTTTCTTTCTCCACTTTCTTCCAGTAGACATGGCAGAACCATTACTCTCTCTTTCTCTCTCTCCCCTATAAAAATCTTTACATAGAGTACAGGTTCAAATAACATTTCTCTTTCTTGTATCCTATTCTTCATGCTTTATGAATGAATAGCGTCAAAATGAGCTCAACAGCGATGACCTCCGGATAATTTGAACTTATGATAATTTAAACCAGCCAACCATTACACTTGTTCAAGTAAGTCTACAGTATTTGCAAAAGGTAAAATTTGAGGAGTTTTCACTCAAAATGGCTCCAAACTCAAGTTCATGGAAAGTGTGAGTAATTTCTTCCTGCTTGTTTTGATCCAAAAAATGCTGAATTGATGGGGAAAAATGCACTACGTTATTCAATTTTAAATCATTTCATGTTTTAAAAATATTAGCATTACTTCTACCCTTCAATATTTTTGTTCGGAGATTAATTCAAAACTTTTCAGAATATGTACCACTATCTCTGTACAATTTTTGAGGAAAACAAGGGATACAACGCGCTAATTCATCAGTACTTAGAATTCTGACCTTTGAGCTTCTAAAAAGATTTTTCAACATTATATACAGATACACAGCTCCTCAACTCAATCAAGAGAGAAGAGCCACAGAGATTGGACAGTCCTCCAAGGTTCAAATTATTGTGCACATATTAGAAACTATTTCTACAATGCAGAAGTCATTTCAATTCTTTCACCTGAGTACGATGTGCTAAATGAAAAATGCATTATTTACAAAGGGTATCTAGGTAAAACCTGTTCTACGTTGTTCAGGTGCAAACGATATCCCGTTTGAATTGCACTTGGGCAAGAACTGTACAAAGCAACTTTAGTGAGGAAAAAGTTGATACATACAAGCCACCGAATTGAAGTGCCATTGCAGTTTACAGCACTACGATACTGAATATGAGGTGTCTCGTTTCGTGCTAAAAGGCATGAAGCCGTGGAAAAAGTTATTTTGAAATTGTTCCTTGGGGGAAATTGTCGATCAAAAGAAGAACCTTTTCGTACCCTCTTTGTGGGAACTCTGGGAGTTTGTTCAAATATGGCCTAAACGAAACCTGATAAAGAGACAATCCTTCAGTAAAAGTTTTAACGCAAGTCCAAAAATCGTTGGGGCAACACAGCATTTCAAATTTCACATTTTTCCCATTGAAAAATTATATTTGGAAGTTCCCTGATTGAAAAAACAACTTAACGTGATCCCTTTTTATTTTCTAAGGCACGATAACATCACCTGCTGATACTGTGATACTTCTAGAGGATGACAAATAGAATGCTTTCTCCTTTCTCTGTCTACAAAATGTTATGGATAAAAAAAATGTTGTAGAAGATGATGTTAAAACTAATCCTTAAGTACTTCATTGGAATAGAATATCTGAATATTTGAATGTTTCTGTATAATTTGAGTCAAGAATAAAACACCTGACCATCTTCTAGAATGCGACAAATCTACTATCTCCACTTTGATATTGAGAAAAATTACAAAAATCAAGATAGTAGATCTCCTGTTTCTCAGTCATCTTGTTTGGTGAGGACTATGCCTATTATAGAAACACGTGACCCCCCCTTTCTAAAAGTCACCACATACATGTCTCTAACTTTCACTAGAATGGAAGATTATTAAAATAAGGAGCTATGGAGTAAACTTAAGATTTGCCTGTTAGTGGTCCAAGAAAAGAAACAAGTAGCAAAAGCTACCTGCTGAGGGGGCGCCGCCCCCCCAGACCCCCCCTTTCAAATTATATATGTGAGACTTTGAGTATCATAGAAGTCGTGCGGCGACATGCCGAATGAAATGCCACAATTAAAATTATTGGATCAGATGATGAGCTGATAAAAGCCTTACCTAGTAATTTGGGAACATTTCTGACACAGTTTGGTTGCTTTAACTATCACTTTGATTTGCGAAATACAAATCGTTTTCACTTCGTATGTAGTTAAATTTGATTTTGACTGACTTAGTTTCTGATGGATTCAAACTCATAATATACATTTAGGTTCCAGGGAAAGAAAAATGCAGATGAGCTACACTTCACATGAATATAGATTGATTAAAAATAAATAATCCGAAGAAGTGATGGAATAAATGANGAAGCAAGAAAGCGCAAAAAGAGGAAGATATTTATCTACTACTTTAAGTCAATAGCATTAGGATCAGTAAACCAGAGAGAAACAATTTTACAACAGCCAGAATCAAATTTCTCTCCTTACATTACTTTTCAGAGGAAAACCGCAAACTGATTCGTTTAAAAGTTTTACAGTCAAGCCTTTAGGGGCTGAAGGAAAATTTTGAAATGAAACTATCTTTAATCTTCGGATGAAAAATAGAATATTGGAAATAGCTGATGTAAAATGGTTCCTTAGATGCACTTTTAAGATCTGCACCTGCAGTTAGCACCAACATTACATCAGTAGTTAAAAATAGCATTACGATATCTTAATCGCCAAATGTAGCAAACCGCAACCCATTTACCTTAATTGGTTGTAATACATGTAGAATTTTAATTATACCGGTTACTTAAGAGGGAAATCATGAAAATTTAGGGGAACATCCTACAACTTACTGGTGACTGAAGAAAACATGTCAGGATATTTTGAGATGAGCAATGGACTTACGTCTTTATATTGGAAATTGATTTAATTATGCCTCTATCTTACATAGGGAGGGTAAAAAGACTCAAGAGAAAGCAAAAAGCACAGCATTAAGTCAGCAAAGTGCGCACTGAAAGAAAGACAGCAGATCCACATCCTGAATACCTCTCTGTTTGAAAGTCAAGTTTGCTATATAAATGTCATTAAAAATTTCATTTAAAGTGTTTTTGTTTCCTCGTTTTGGAAGACATTGAAAAATTTGCTGGTCAAGAATTGGCAAAAGTAGGAGCAGACATGAAATAAAAAAAATTCAATGACAAACCAGGGTACTTCATGTCATAAACCTTTTAACGTTGAGAAAAATTCAGAATTCTGGCCATTCTTGGGCAAATTGAAAAATACCGTCCGTTCGGTAAAATTTTGGTTGAAGCAAGATGACTTTTTGAACTTTACAGGGCGCCACTTTGATTTTTGAGAGAGTAATGTCTTCAGCTCTCTAAGGTACAGCGACGAGGCTTAACCTGACGGGTTTGGTCCCGATGACATTGTGGAAATAGAAAATAAATTACAAATTTAACTTACTTTTCATTGGAACTCCCAGGCTCGACAGGAAATTGGCTTACTTTAGTATCACAGTTAGTTGAGTGCTACAAAACAAAAAAACAGATAATCTTAATAACATTGAAAAAAAAAAAAAAAAAAAAAAAAAAAAAAAACTAATGCTATTTAAAAAATCTTTTGTGAGTAAGAATGCTTGAGAGGCATAACTCACATTCTGTTAAAGTATGACTGTTCTCACTTAATGTAGTGTAGCATTTGAAAATAGAATCAATAATATTAATTATTCTAGAAACATATCACACACATGTGAATAATCATAAAGATGGCTTAAAAGGTAAAAGTAATAAGTAGGTGAGGCAAAAAAAATAAAAGTAATGGCACATGGCTCACAGCATGGCTGTGCAACTGAAATTTTGAGTTTTATAAATTTATATGATTTTGAATCTGATAATGGGACTTGGACCCTAAAATGGCTGTTGTACGTGAGTAAAGCCAAACCTCTAATATTTATCAAAAAAGTCAACTGAGCGTTAGAAAAAACTTAGTTTTGTAATTGTCAAGCTGATAGGTTTCTCTCCTACTTTCCTTATATTCACCAGCTCAATCTAAATGATAGATTTAATTAACAACACACAATTCTTACAAATTAATTTTTTTTACGTTAATCCTGTCCTCATCTATGGAACAAAGAACCCTAATTCCAGAAGGCAAATTCAAGATCTCAATTCATCAGATTTCAAGGGAATGATGATTCAATCCATTAAATCGGGATCTGATGAATTGAGGTCTTGTTTTGGTTATTTTTATGAGGATTTATTAAGAAATTGGAATTCATTTTTCATTGGAGAAGGTTCTAAAGTGTTCCAAGGAATAGACTACAGGCAGTTAACATGTAAGGCCACAGTATCGGGTGAAGAAAGTGGCAAGTTGTTGCTCATAGAGCCAAGAACCAAAAAAGCCTTGGCATTCAACGTATTGAGTTAATTTTTGGGCCAACAAAGGCAAGGACTTAAGTTGCATTTCGATCAGTTAATTCTGCAAACTAAAGTAAAAACAGGGTTAGTTAAAACTTTGGATCTCGTTTTTTCTATCAAATATCTACAAATGATATATTTTTAGAACTTGGTTTCTACGATCAAAATGGGTCATTGAAGTGACGGTTCAGTGTTGCCCATCAAAATTAGGATGTACTGCTCCTTTTCAGTCAACACAAATTCACAAACAAAGGCTTGAATAAATGTATTTCGATACCCTGCTCATGATTAATGTTCATCAAAACTTAGAGGCGCCTCTTAATTTTGATTGGCAATGCTCAACAGTCACATCAATGCCCCATTTTGAATGTGGAAACTAAGCTTATGATATTACTTCAGTTTTCTGGTTTTTTATTAATTCATATTGTTGAACTAAAGAAATTGAGAAATAAAGATGAAATAAACTAACATTGACTCTCAAAACTACGATTTTTTAAATGTAAATTTCAAGCCAACATATGTCCAGTTTGATTCCATATTTTGGGGCGTTGTTGATGCCAAAATGTTGAAAAATAATCCTTTAAACAGCAAAACCAATGACTCAATTTCAAGTTTTCCGGCACAAACGCCTTTTTCCTAAGGGTACTCAATATTTGGACAATATTACACAAAAAGAGTTTGACTTTTCTGCCTTGTTCCTTGATAGTAAAAGTATAAAAGTGTTGCTGTTTTCTTAATGTCCATGGGCCTTATCAGATAACCTACAAAAATTAGTTCTTATTGACATATTGCTATCCATTTAGTAAGAGGAAAATTATGGAAAGGTGTAGAAAATGACGTACCTGAGAGTTATTCAAGAGTTCATTGATGTTCAGATAATCCCAATCACATGCAGGATTGAAAGGACCTGGCTGGTTTCCAACGTAAAAGTCTGAGAGAAAAAAAAAGAAAAGGAAAAATTGTCAAAAAAAATTGTTCCAGGAAAAGGAAGACAAATTTCACATGTAACATCTGAGCTAATCTTGTAAAGTAATCAAAGCAGGGATTTTCCAAGGGATTCCAAGCTGACATTTAGTTTCTTGAGAAAGTTTGAAGGAAACGTAGAAACTTTGTTCTTAGAAAATTGTATTTCTTTTTGTTGAGTTATGAGTATCGACCACCAAAACATCAGTTTGTGCCATTTTTCATTGCCCCTTTATAGATAAAACATTCAGATACCTTCTTAAACCTTCCACAATCTTACAATGATTTTCGCAGTGTGTGACTGTAGTATTCAACATTATTACATTTGATAGGTAACAAACTGGGCAAATTTTGAGTTATATGCCGAAAACAACAACAACAAGGAACCGATATTCCGTAAGGAGTCTGAAAAATCCATTGCACCAAAAAATACAGAATTCAAATATATGAAACAAGGATTTGTCTTTAAGAAAAACATTGCATTCAGTACTTAAGTATATTAAATGCAGTACTTTTTTTTTCTGGTCATAGGTTATTTTTATTTCTTTGATATCGGAATTTTATTTTTGAGAGTGAATGATTGTCTAGGCTCATTTGCAAGGAGTATTATCTTTTTTCCATGCGAAACTCAAAGTTCACCAAGATTTTTCACTTCACCAATGTGATACATGATCACCATCGTACCCCAGAACGTATCACTCCAATAACTGATTCTCGGAACTTAGAAATAGAATATTCACCTGGACTAAGGAGGGGTGACTGTACAGGTTGCTGCTCTTTGGCAGGGTGCTTGGAAGCTATTCTTTGAGGTACATTGGAAACAGCCTGGAAAAAACAAATTAAAAATGAACAAAAGTATCACATGGAATTTTGTGGCTTTTCTTCTTTCTTGTGCCCTGAAATTTCCCTCCTTGCCCTAACAATTGCAGATGAGGTGCTTCTCGGCTGCAGTGTTTCAGAATCTCTGTTGCTAATTCATGCCTTAAAGAGGAATCTAATGGGTGATTTTTCCAGAATTTTTTAAATGGAAGTAAGTAGTATTATGAGGAATATTCAGAGAAAACTTCAATCAAATTCATGTATTCGCTTTCCTTACAGTAAAGGAAATAGTTGCTGATTTTCTAAAACTTTGCAATCAAGAAGTTCTTTCCTCCTTTTCCTCTTCGACGATTCTCCTTTTTCAATAGCGGGTCTCTATCTCTCATTTCTTTTCTGTTTTTGCTCTACACCTCCAGAAAATTAATATATTTTCGATGAAATTTCTCTTGTTTCCTAGCAATTTGCTTGGAGGAATTTTTATTTTTTTATTTGACCATTCTTTGTCTTACCTGCTTCCTGAAATTTCTGTATTTTTCAAACTTTTATCATACAGATTTTCTACTTTCCCTGCAAATTCCCAATTTCCTCTTAACTCTGCTTCTCATGACAGTTCTTAGTACTATTTCACTCCAACTTTTTCCCATTATCCATCACTAGAGATCCCTTGGAAACACTTTGTTATATACTCACTCCATCATCGTCAAATTCAACGAGGTCTGCCAATCGGACAGGATTGCTGACTTTTTGTAAAAGCTCCAGGGCAAGTCTTTTGCTCATGTCTTGCATGAAAAATGAGTGCTAAAACGAAAAAAACACATGTAACTATTAATAACAAAAATATTCAAGATGGCAACCTTTAAACTTGATTCAACTAAGTACATCTCTGAAGCTAATGATTTCCTAAGGGTCAATCACTACCCAACCTCATCAACATTTTGTCCAAAATCATTTAAACAGGTATTTGCTGGTTTACTCTTTCCCTCCATTTTTGCCATGAGTTGGAACCCTGCAGAAGAAAGTGCTATTGGTTTAAAAAGGATACTAAATTTAAGAAGCGTATTAAAAGGGCCTTAACAGGGCTGAACTATGATGACCTCCTGGTATTTTTAGAGATCCTTCCTTTCCTTAACCTTACACTTTTACACTCACAGGATGCAAATTCTGGTAGCTTCTAATTTCAAAAGACCCATACAGAAAATCTAGATAACCCTGTGAATACTCGGGTTGCGGCAAGCCACCGTCACAGACCACGCCCGAGTATTCTCGTGCTGCGCCTCGCGTTCGTATTTCCCGCTCTAGCTCCCTTGTTTTTCAATGAAATTAAGTATACAGCATATGCGCACTCTGTCGGCAAATATGTGAACTACATCTTTATCTCCTTGACAGAGAGCGCCACTATCGGCGGCCGTATTCCTAACGCGGCCGTCAAAGGGTTAAAGCTAAGCCTATGCTGCTGAAATATTAAATATACCAGATTCCTACCCCTCTTATTGACTTATATCAAGTCTTCCTGAGAGGGATATTTATAAAGAACATCAGATTCTAAGAAAGTGGGGGATTACTCTTGTGTGCAGGTATGTGAAGCTAAGAGGAGGAGAGTCTGATACAACTTGATGCAATACAAAAATCAAGGTGGAAAGCTGATTTTTTTACATAGTTGTACTAAAAATATTGATTTTAAAAAATCTATTTTTTATGTGAAAAGGGGATGGAGAAAAATATGACACAATTTTTCGAGGGAGGGGGGGAGCAGCAGGCTTGCACGATAGAACTGCAACATAAGGGGATGTCCATTCTTGCATTCCGAATTTTGGCGTGTTTACAGAGAGTCTATGGACACTGGACAGCCCCAAACTCCATTTTTAAAGAGTGAGAGAGTGATGAAATGTAAGATACATACTTGTAATAGCTTTTCAGCAGTTGGGCGTTTTTTTGGATTTTTGGTCAAAGCTGTTTTCAGAAAATTGTGGAATGTCGGACTCCTGTAAAATGAAAATAAAAACTGATTAAATTTCTTCCATGATTAAGCCCATTAACTTAGCTTTTACCAATTTCTTCAATGAACAGAAAATTTAAGAGAATTCTAAAAACAATATTTCAGCAGTGGATTTTTTCAATCCCAAAATTTAGAATGGCTGCCAAGCGTTAAAACCCCAAAATTGTCAGAATTCAATTACAGTAATCATTCAAAAGGTTTCAATTAAAACAAAACAAACCAAAATTTGAACAGAATAGCATGCATTACTGCTCTTTTACCGCAGTAGATTTTAGAGTTAGTACACCCCTTTTTTTCTCCGGAACTATCAAAGTTTGAGAAAAAGGTTTGGAAGAGAGATAGATATGCAAAATTCATGATTTCTCTCTGACACAAGGACTAAAAAAGTACAGCTGATTAGAAAGCTAGGACTGAGTGAATTTCAACTTCGGTTTGATTTTTTTTTCTAGCATTGACAGTTCTCACAAGAAAAAGAGGCACACTTGCTTTAAAATCCACCATCGTAACTTCTATAGTTCTGTTGAATAAATGGAAGACTTTTAAGACATAGCAAAGTCACAACGAGAGTATTAAATTGACTTCAAACTGATGGAATCGGCAGTATTTTTTGAATTCTGGATTTTCCAAGTTTTCCGGGTGGTTTTCTAAAATTTTCCTAAATAAGTAAGAGGCAAGAAAAATTCGAATTCAATATTCAAACCGTTCTTGTGGGTAAAACTTTGGATTTTCACTAGTCATTGCTGAGAGAGCCTCGAACACCTGCGCCATTCAGGTTTACCCCCAAAACTGCATTCTTCAGTGCTTCTCCTTCAGAATGAAAGTTCCTACATTAAACATTCAAAACTATGGTAAAAAAAGAGGAGGAATTGTAATGTCCATGCGTTTACCATTTTTCTTTGTCTTTAAGTGTGGGTGGTTTGAAGCCACTTTTGGCCATCAAAAAAAGAACTCGCATCGGATGGAGATCGAACATGGGAGGTTGTAGCTCCGCCAGCTCGATTGCAGTGATGCCCACAGCCCAAATATCACAGAGCTGATTGTAGCCTCCTTTGCGTTCTACAGCTGCAACCTGTCGAGGAGAAATTTTTGATATTACTCTCATTTGAAAATAAAATATTTAAATTAAGATATTCATCAGAACCGCTCTAAGAGGTGACATAAATATTTTTTGTGGATAACACAAACGAAGATGAATGACCATCTACAGCCTTCGTTGACACTGATAATCCATGGTAAAATGGTAAAATGAGGCAGCTGATGGGGGAAAAAAATGTTTCGAAATTTTTGTGGAGAGCTATTGAGTAATCCTGGAAAGTTCATAAGTTTGTTTTCATATCTTAAGATATTATTCATGATGCTAAATTGCTCCCATTGTGTTTGGTTCTCGTAAATTTCCATCGATCTTATAAATGTCTTCAGAATTTCCATCGATCTTATAAATGTCTTCAGAATTTCTATCAGATCGACACTGTTTTCGAATTTGCTCACTTTCTCTTTATACCTAGGCTGAAATCTCCCCCATGGAAAAAATTTTCTGTGATTGACCTTGAAAATTTCCGTCATTCTCAGAAACTTTTTATCATAAGCAAAAAGTTTTAAAGCCCTCTCAAAAGCCAATTTTTCAGGTTATTCATTTACACCAAGAAGATTTAAACAAACCACTTGCTTAACCTCATTCCAAGAGGAGAAAAGATTTTCGACAAATATCCACCGGTTTTTAGCGATTCAAATACTTAATTCAAAAGATGTTTAGTGTATTTACCGAGGAAAATACAATATTTTTCATTAAATAGTTGAAATGAGAGGACATCCACTCTAAAAGTGCACAGGATTACATCACTAAAAAAAATGAAGAATTTTCTCAACTTTTACAAGGCGACAAGTTTTCTTGGGTTTCAAACTTCTCTGACTTTTCCATAGCCTTTACAGAATGTGAAATTCTCCAACTTTTCCATTACTTTTCAATGGTTTTTTTTTCAGCATAAAAACAGTTTTCCATAAAAGTGCTTTCCACAAAAAGAAGGTTTGATGCGGAGTCTTCTAAAATTGAAAAAACTTAAATTTGAAAACTTGAAGGCAGAAGTTCCAATAATTGTGTATAAAACTTCAGTAGGTGTGGTGGGTAATACTGTAGTACCCCATTCAGATGAAAGATTTCAAGGCTCCGAGGCAAATTCCTTGATTTTTCCGGGTTTTCAATAAATTTTCAAGAACTTGTCACCCTGTTTTACTAGGTATTGTTGAATGAGTCACCATTTGTTACCATTGGTGAGACAGTGAGTTTGATAAAAATATTGACAGCTGAGGAGAGTATAAGGAGGGGAAAAATTAGGACGAAATGTCTTGAAACTCACTTCAGGAGCCATCCAGTAGGGTGTGCCAATGAAAGATTTCCGTTTGTTCATGGTTGCAGTGATCTGGCCGGAGACACCGAAATCTGCCAATTTAACATCTCCACCATCTGTTAAGAGGATATTGCCACCCTGTAACAAAGCGCATAATTAAGGTTTTACTATTAAATAAATTAAATTCATGAAAGATTCAAAATTATAAATATATTTCTGGATTTTCTGTCGTCTCATGGGAAAAGGAAAGACAAACTTGAATTTTAACACCGTTTTGGTTAAAAATTACAATTTTTGACTCAAAACCATCAACATTTTCTGTACATTATCAAGATCATTTTCTAATTTCCTGGTATGTTCGATGACTCCCTTGCCCAAATAAAATTATGCACATTTTTTTTGATGATAAAGTACCTAGAGAAAGGAATATTTTGAGCAATCGTTATACTTGGAGTTGTAAGAATAGGGAATTGTTGGATCTTGAATCCTAGGTTACTTTTAAGGAGGCAGAAAAAATAAGGAGAAAGTCAGCCTTTTACTTTTTAATACTGAGCATCATTCTGTTTGCCGTTGTTAAAAAATTTTCTTCAATTACCTAGCAGTAATATTTTTAAGCAAGTTAAGAAGAATTGAAAGCTCCTCTGAGGATTGGCAAACATTTTGAAAAAAAATAATTTCGGCATTTTAACTCTTAAGTGATATTTTGACTTGATCAGTACAAATGAGATTTTGAGATGGTTTTACTTGGTACCAAAAAATTGTCCATTCAAATCCTCAAACTAAATTGAATTTTTTACATGAATTATAGAGTAAAATTAGACTTATTAGACTCTTATTAGAGTAAAATTTTCTTGAAAAACAGATGATTTTTTGTAAGAAAATTTAAACTGCTATTCTTCAAATCATTTGCCTCCGAGCAAAACTGAATTATTTCTTACACGTACCAATCAGATGCTTAAAAGATAAGATATTCCAAAAGGATAAGTCCCATTAAGGAGGGTAGTTTGGCCCTAATTTTGGTCGAAAATTAAAACAGCTTAAAATAATGTCATGTATGGTCAAATCGACTCTTAATCATCTACCCTGTGAGAACTTGTCCTTATTTGAGGTGTTTTTGAAAGGTTTTTGCCTGATTTACCAGCGCGAAGTAGTGAAGTTTTGCAGTTTTCTCGAATAATTGCTCATTTTCGGTCCCAAATTAGATTGTTAATGTATGAGCACAAGCAACTACCACTTTCATATTCGAATATGTTAATCTTTAGTACACCCATTACAACATATTTAAAGGAGAAAGTGGTAGTCGCTTGTGCTCATGCATAAACAATCTAATTTGGGACCAAAAATGAGCAATTATTCGAGAAAACTGCAAAACTTCACTACTTTGCGCTAGTAAATCAGGCAAAAACCTTTCAAAAACATCTCAAATAAGGACAAGTTCGCACAAGGTAGATGATTAAGAGTCGATCTGACCATACATGACATTATTCTAAGCTGTTTCAATTTTCGACCAAAGTTAGGACCAAAATGCCCTCCTTAATAGGACATATTCTTTAGAACTCAAATACTAATGATTTTAAGTTAACTTGGCTTGACAGAATTTTTGAGCAGAAAGTTTCTCAGAAAAAAAGCATTTTAGGAAAAAATGTCCACTTAGAGCTCCTTGATACTCGGATCATTCTTGAAAATACATTTTAGGAGATAGTGAAGAACAATTGAATGAAAAAGAGGTATTACCTTTATGTCGCGATGCATTTTACCCATTGAATGCAAATAATGAAGGCCATTCAATACTTCTCTGCACATGTACGCAATCTGAATTTCAGTTAAAGGCCCGGTTACTGAAATACAAGATAAAGCATCACAAAGAGGTATAAGCAGGGGTTCAAAAATTAATTTTGCACCACTGTTATGAGAGGTGTTCCTCTAGAATTTAATAAGGAAGAGCTATTTGGTCGAATGCTTAAATGAGACATTAAGTTCCTTGTAAAGAGCTATACAATTAGAGAAATCATTCATCTAAGTTTTTCTTGGAAAATCTTACAATTAGTTGAAATGAATAACATATTTTTACTGTCATTCAGACCTAAACAAGGGTGCAAACATTTTTAAAATGTCAACCATTTCTAGCATTTCTAAGTTTTTGCCTCAAAGCCAAATTCCTGGTTAGCCTGATGGTAACACGCCCAACTTCATGAGGAAAAGCCCAATTTAAAGCCCCTAACTGTCCCAATTTTTTTGAAGAGCTGAAAAGAAAATTAGTCGTCACCTTTGAGAAGCGTCTCACATTTGCATAGAGTACATAGAGTTGTAATGTGATTGGGAGAGCTGGGACCACTTTTAAGTATTTTCTAGGTCCCGAATTCCATGACTCCTGTGCGGCGCTGGGTCACTTTTTCAGTACATAATCGATTGTTTGCAGTTCACGGGGACCAGACCATCCGATGTAACCAAAGAAGATAGGAATTATTATGTACTAGCCGCTGTGGCTCGCTTCGCTCGCCTCGCGTCTAGCCGGGGGCTCCGCCCCCTGGACCCCCGGTCACTCGCTTCGCGAGTGACTTACGGCTCGCAAGCGAGCCGTATTCCGTGCCGTAAATGCAAAAAGATGATAAAGTAATGTAATCCAATAAGAACTCTTCTGAATACATGAATACGAGAGGCATTCCTTCCTAAATTAGTTTACCTGTTTTCAGTTCCGTAATGATCTTCCTTGTAAATTTTCAAAAGAAAAACGAAATTACGCGAAATTGCCAAGAAGCATTATGGATAGTTTTCCTGTAAGGGATTTTTCTTCGGGGGGGGGGATTAACTTTGAGTTAAATAAGGCGAAGTCCCTCCGGAATATGACAATGTAAGCCCTGCGCACTTGGTATTGGCCAGGAGGAGTAGCTCACTGGCGTCCTCCAGGACTCCAGCCAACACCACGCCAAAGCTACAGACTTAAACAATCATACGTCGGGTGGCGCCAGTAGTAGAGAAGTTTAGGACTTAAGAAAAGAGACAATTTCGAATGTTACATGAAAAAAAGCATCTCATGCATTTGGCCATCATATAAATGGATGTATTTTCAAATGAATTTCGCGCAAAAGTATGAACGAACGGGGTACAAAACGTATTACCTTATAAAAGAAGGATTTTCGGTTACTCGGCACTGACCGGCAAAATACATGTAAATTTGGAGTTACTCCTCCTAGTCGTTAGCTACTCACTCAAGGAACATTCTGCGTAAAAAATTCGAGTGAATTGTTTGAATGTGTAAATTATTAGACTCATTAATTAGTATACGCACTAAAAAGAGACAAACTTCATGCACAGGACGCAACAATCTCGCACATTTGCACCCAGAAAATATGAGTAGAAATTGTGTAGAACGTTTCTGGCGAAAACAGGTGTACAATAGCCTCGCACTGGGTTGGACACTAAAAAACCGAGGATATTCCGTAAAAAAAGAAAGGAAAGAAAGTATGAGTAGAAATTGCTAAATATCCATTCATCGACTGGCGCGGCCGCAAAAGAACGTATCTCGCGAATACAGAGGCAAAATAGTATCACTCAATATCGGACACTCACAAATCGGAACTGTTCCGTGAAAAAAGAAAGAAAAATTGAGCAGATATTGTTAAGTACCCATTGATCAACTAACATAACCGTAAAAGAACGTATCCGACGAAAGCAGATGAGCGATGGGCAACCTCTCAAAAAGTCGCGAGATTTCGAAATCTAATCAGTGTTGCTCTCGAGATGCAGGATGCAGCTAAGTTGGCAGCGTACACGAATAGACTGATTTTCGGAGCAACTCAGAGGAAGCAATTCAAAGGAAGCAATTCAGTCCTGAAAACATTTTGTTTCCTGTTTTTTCCCACGGTTTTCCTTTGCTCTTCGATAAAGGTAGCTGATGTAGGGGTAACGGGAGGGACAAACATAATTCTGCATTGGTAAGGAAGAACGCCGTATGAGTCTTCAGACGTTGCCAAATTTCCCCTGGAAAACCACTAAATTTCAGGAAAATTTTTGAAAATTTTGGATACTTTTGTTTTTAATTTGATCTAAAACGTCTGAAAATTTCATGGGGAAAATATTCATAATTTTCCTCAAAAATAAACATTTTATCGAAGAAAATTTGGCAACTCCCGAATGTTCATATGTCGTTCTTCCTTAGCAGGGCAGAATTGCAAACACTACGCTTTAAAAAAGAGACCATTTTCGGTTTTCTTCAAAGTATTCGGACATAACTCCAATAAAAATACAATGAGAGGATTAGCGCGAGGTTTGGATGTCGCTCCCTGGTCGGAAAATCATGTTTTGACTCGTCTGCCGACAAAATCTCGTCAAAGCGTTCAAGAACAGCTGGGCCTGGACAGTCAGGAGACCAGGCGGCAGCAATAGATCTCAATTCGTCATCCTTTTTTCCCTTCCTGCTCGGCCTAGTGGAGCTCCAAAAAAATTGATGAAATTTCTCTCATCGGGTTCGATTTCAACTTTCTCAGTAAATTTACGCTCTGCTAAAAAAGTATATTACAATGAACTAAATTTCGTCGTGATATGTTGATAAGTAACGGAAATATCGTTCAGCAAGTTATAAATGCAGCAGTTGTGGTATCGATCTTAGTGTACCGTAGAATCATGTATTTTCATTAGTTTGACCACCATTCTGCTCAAAATTTCACCGCGAATCGAAAAATATACACTGTAAAAACAATTTCCGAATGATAGAAAAAATTGCATTTTTACTGTCTTTAAATTTTGAGGGTCAGATTTTGTTTGGCATATGAGACAATAGGGCTGCGATCCCGTAGCGAGCAGTCTCGGGCTCGAGGGTTGTTAGACAAAAGGACGGGAAAACCCATGTCATCGCACCGCTTCGACAGTTTTATGGAACCACGTATCTGGGGCGGCTTCCTTTTATTCAGACAGAGCAGTGCTGAGACTGAGTCCGAGTTTGACCTTCGGCGTTGGGTGAAGGCTGTGTAGTAGTAATATGGAGAGGGGTCTATTTGCATCTCTCAGCGGTTTACACAGATATGGCTGAAAAATTGGAAATTCTCATAGTTTTGCGAGCATCTAGGAGCTAGAAGCTTTCAATCGACCCAAAAATCGTAAAAATCGCCCCGGTAGATCTCTCAAAATAGGCGTTACAACAGGAACATAACCAATTCCCGGGAACTTAAGGCCGGAGGGGGGTGGATTTGGCTTTAAGAGCGTCTCAGGAAGAAGAGTCTGAAAAATTTGGAAGTCTGACAATTTTGCGAGCATCTAGAAGCTAGGAGCTTGCGGTCGACCCAAAAATCGTAAAAATCGCCCCGGTAGATCTCTCAAATTAGGCGTTACAACGGAAACATACCGCAACTCTCGGAAACTTAAGGTCGGAGGGGGGTGGATTTGGCTTTAAAAGCGTCTTAAGCAAAAGAGGCTGAAAAATTTGGAAGTCTGAAAATTTTGCGGACATCGGGACGTCAAGGGCTTTAACCAGAGTCAAGCATCGTCGAAATCGGTCCGGTAGAACTCCAGAAATAAGCGTTACAGTGAAACCCCCAACGATTTTATTTATATAGATTCCACACCATCATTTTGGGTCGAACATGTATCAAAAAAGTAACCTGCACGGCTTGGAACTCATCGTCCAGGACATGGTCTCAGCTCTCCCATTCATATTACGACTCTATGTACTCTATGCACATTTGCCACCATCCTGACGCTAAAAAAATGTATTTTTTGCACCTCTGACATTCAATCTTCCATTGTTCAAGGTAATGATGGATGGGGTCACTCAGGATAAAAATCTGGCTTTAACGAAAGGGCTATGAGAGAGTTTAAAACCTTAAAAGGAGATATTTGATTTGATAAGTAACTTTCGAAAAATTCCTCTTTTAATTAACTGAACTTTTTTCCTGAGAAAAAATTTCAACTTGGCAAGAATAGAAAGCTCTGACACTCAAAACTTCATCTGATAGGTTAAAAAAAAATAGTACATAGAGCACTACTTACTGTGATAAATATCTTGCAAGGATCCGCCCCCACAGTACTCCATGCAAATCCATAGTTTGTCACCTCTCAAATAACTTCCGAAGTATGCGATGATGTTTGGGTGGACACAGTCTTTCATCATGAGGATTTCTTGCTGAATTATGCTGAAGTCATCATCTAGAAAAAAATGTTAATAGTACGTGAGTCTTTGAAATTGAAATGAAATATTTTAGCCCTCAAATTGTTGTTTCTTGCTTAAAAAAATGTATTTTACCAACGCTGTTTCAGTATTTCTACTGACAATTTATTTTTTTATGGGAGAACTGTTGTACGAATTAGTCTGCAAATTTCAAAGTCCTTTATCACAAGGTTAGAGAAAAATCCAGGAATTTCAGGAGAATTCGTGCAATGGTCATCCTATAAAGAAATAAAATGCAATTAGGTAAGAAATACTGAAACAGAGCAATGGATATACATACATTTCTTTGTCTTGGAGACAACAAAATGGAACACTTTTGATTGCTGGATTGAATAATCTACATGCGATGGAAAATAAACATCATCCCTTAATTTTTTAATATTTGAAGCTTAAAAGTTAATGTTTTCAATGATCCCTGAGAAGTAAAGGAGATCTTCTTGAGAGAGGAGACTGGGTAAATAATGTCATCATATTTGTGGGAAAAATACTAATTCAAGAAAATTGAACATATTTTTTTTGTGTGGTCCCAAGTGCTACAATTTCGGATTGTGACTTTGGGCCAAATAATAATTACCTAGGAGAAGACACATTATATAATGGAGCAATAGGGTCATTAACTGTCCTTAGATGGCCTAAATAAGCACTTTTAAAATCAGGCCCAAAACTCGAGGCTCAAGGTATGCCAAAAGGGATTTTTTCCTTTATTCTCAAAACTTGGATTTTGATGCTTAGGCCCTCAAGGAACAATCGGTTTAATTCTGAAAAACTTTTAAGAGATTCATTAAAAAGCCCAGATCTCTTCAAATCTTTGAATTGGATGGTGATAAATGACTTAGTATAAAAAGAGAAACAGAACTACCTTCCATGCGACATATGAAAATTAAGTCTGAACTTCGCTGACTGTTACTTAATGCACCATTTATTCTTATCAGGTGATGACATGACAAGAGAAAATCTATTTGAAGTTATAAAATGCACTTCCACTTTGGCAAGAAGCAGTTCGAATCCTACATCCCTCTTAATTGAAGACTAGGTCCAGCTTTTCCACAGGATTTAGAGAAATAATTGCCCTCACATATTTTGGTCAAATTCTCTGACAAGTGAGGAGATGCCAGATGGTTAGTAAGACATAATTTGAAATAATTTTCAGACAAAATTCATTGTTCAAAACGTCAAACCCATTCTAGGAAGCAAATAAAGGTAACTTAACAATTTTCCTCTAACCATTTCATCATTCTCTCTGACATATCACAGTATTCCCTGACTGTGGTAATCCTGTAGGTCACAAGTGAATCAGTGAGTATGAAACACACCAACTCAGAAAAAATGAATATAATCAAGACACATACAAAACTGCATAGTAGGTGAAGAAGTTAGTCTGGGAAAAAGATTTTTAGTGCAGAGAGACAAGTACTTAAAGATACTTTAAAGGTCCAAGTCAGAGCAGGTGCGCTAACTTTGATGACCTTTATAAAAATTGACTGTCTTTAATGAAAATTGAGCATTTTTGAGTTACCGAGTTGGTTTGTTTTCGTACTCACTGATTCGAGTGTGCCTGCTGTACTCCTGATCTTGACACAACTGGAAAACTGGAATGAACCGAATGGGCAATTTGGGTTATTATCATAAAAAAATTTTAAAAACAAGGTGATTAATGAATTACCTGGCTCTAGCTTTATGACTTTGATGGCAGCAAAGTCATTTGTTGACAGTCTTTTAGCCTGAAACAGAAAAAAATAAAGATTAATGGTATGAAACATCAGAAGTTACATTTTGAGAAAACGAGAAAATTGAAACAATGGAAATCAGCATCCTTGAGTCATGATTCATGGAGCATACACCAAACGGGTTTGCTCTTGTAGAGCAAGATAAAGGATCAGTCATCTTGATTTTTGAGTTCCCTTTGAGTGTACACTCAGAGGCTTTTTTTATCCAAGCCATGTAACTTTTTTTTTTGGTCCAGCATAATCTGCACATTCTAGCAGAATGCTTGGATTGCCCTAAAGAGATGGTTGTTAAGTGGTTGTGAGCAATCCTAAACGCAACCTGAGCCACTTCAAACTGCAAATAGCTCTGTCAAGGCATTCTGTGGATAAAAAGGAGCTTTAAGGGCTTTTTTCTTATCGCGGATCAGGGCGGATTGCAGTGGATCGGAATCCTGAGCGCAGTGGAGCGGATCCTGATCACCTGGAACGCTTGGATCATGGCTGAGGAACTGAATAAAAAAATACCGATGTTCATTGTGGTCCACCGCGTTCCACTAAAAAAAAAGCCCTCTAGGTAGAATAAAAAAAAAGCCCTCTAGGTAGAATTATTCCTAAATAACAAGTCCTGCTTACATTCCTTCAACAATTAAAATTTGAACACTGGAAATGGTTCTGTGGAATCATACACAGAGGCTGCGGCCGCTACAAGTGAGGCATAAAACTTTAATTTCATCGAAGTTTTTCAACTAACTGAAGCAATAGAATGATCGTCACTTCAAATTGCAACTGAGGCATTACAAATTATCTTATCATTTTTTAAAACAGGAGTCATGTAAAGATCCCATCATATTTTCTTTGAGCAGGAGCAATGAAATACAGAGGCTCAGTTGTTGTGCTTGAAATTCGGACCTCAGGTTGACAGCCCGGTAACAGCTTGATTCGTCTGAGAGGCAAAGGTACTTAACCTAGAAATGAACGACTACCACTGAGATGGAGGCATTGCTGCGCAGCTAAAAACATACTTACTTTGTACACATCGCCGTAAGTACCACTCCCAACACGCATGATGAGTTCGTATTCATTTTGGGGATTGCTTCTGCTGATCTCCGACCTCCTTACATCTCGAACCCTTGTTACCTGTGCATTGGCCATGACTGGATGGTGGAGTGCAATTTTTTTCAATTACATATTGAGTAACAACTCATATCGCTTGAGGCAGGTGATTTTAGATACGTAGAGATGACTTTTATCAAGAGTGAACTTCATTTTTCATGACTAGGGGGTGAAAAACACTAAGAATCACAACACAAGAGTAAGTACATAAGTGACAACGTCACAGGAGTGAAATTACGAGACCATAGATGAACAACCATGCGTAACGAAGCACTTCAAACGAGACTGTGCGCTTACGTAAAACAAGAGGAATTTGAGACGCGACAGTAAATACATTCAGGTCTGAAGGAAAGCTCTAAAATTCTTAATAACTCTGCTGATAAAAGCTTTAGCTGTAAACACAAAATTCATTAAATTTTTTTGTTGACTTTCCGCCACCGTTGAGACTCAGCCACTCCACTAGGCACCATAAACCGCTAAGGTTTACGAGGTTACGTTTTTTGTTTATTCCTTGAAAACCAAAAATTCGACATAATACATAATTCGAACCGCTACAGCACGTAATTTAACTACTTCAGTTCATCAAAATGTGTGAATAATTTCAAATAATATAGTCTTGAACTTCACTTAAAGCAACGCGCAAAAGTTTGACTCCAATATTTGAACAACTTACTCCGCTTCATGACAGGAATTAGTCCCCGAAGCAATCCAGGTTTGATACAATGTCTAACTTTAATTTGAAGTGGATCAGTGGTTCAGAATTTAGAACACCAGTTTATTTTTCAACAGATTACTGAATTTGAAATGGAAGATTTAACGTCAATTTGAAACATAGCAAATTTGCATTTAATCAACGGGAAACTTCTTGGGATAAGGATGTCTTTCAAGAGTACGGCGCAGCAAGAATCTGGTCCTCCAAAACCTATTTCACAGAAAGAATATCTGAAAAAATACCTCTCTAATGATTCCAGCTCTAAAAAGAAGAAAAAGAAAAAAATCGCTCCTACGAGTATTCAAAGGTAAGTCTTTTTCTATAATTTCAGTAGGAAAGTCGTCAGATAGTTGGCATTTGTTTACGTTCGGTTTGCAAGTGCAGACAACAAATTTAGGCCTCTGCACAGACCGTTGTGTGTGTTACTAAGCGCCTTGAGAATATACATCTCATGGTCGTTTTGTCAAAAAACTACCTATCAGTTAGGCCTCAACTTTTATGTAGTTGTGATTTCTGTATGGCTCAAATTGAAGTGTTATAAGGTTTGAAGGTATTTGAAAACCAAACTTGTGCTCTCGCTTCTGCAAGAATCAGATATTTTCATTTGGATAGTAGTGACGCGAAAACACCTGCGAACTGAAAGTAAACAAACGCCAATTTATCTGATGACACCTCTATCTTCCTCAACATTATTAGATGTGATTGCCCTGGATCGAAGGACAGTGGTCGATTTTCAGGAGAGCCATTTCCATCAATCATCGCCTTGCTCAAATGTATAATCCGTTTCGCATTGATGATAGTTTTGTTCATCCGACAACTCATTTGAGTTGCCTGCTCTTTTAACAATTTTAAGCAAGGATAATTTTGGATTAGAGCACCTAGAACAGCTTTTACTCAGCCAATATAAAATAGTTGCAACTCCAGTTCGTTTGACTTTATTAAGAATATTTTTAGTCCAAATTTGGATGCCAAAGTTTATGGTCTTTTTTATTTCTTTGTAGGTCTAAAATTGTTGACGATGACTTGGACCTAAAAAACATGCGGCTGCTAGGTGAAAATGAGCTGGATCTCTTTCAGATGGATGAAGATGCCCCTCAAATAGCCGGCATAATCGACGAAAGGCCACCGGAGCTTCAGACGTTGGAATCGTACCGGAACTCAAAGCGATGGAAGGTAGTCGCAGAAAGTGATGAGCTCACCATCTCTGATGTGCACGCTGAAGCTGAAGAAAGGAAAAAGTTGACCAGCAAAAATAACAAAGAAATAGCACACAGGTTCATCTCGCACAACATTGAGAAACCTGATTCTGAAAGGAGTAAGTTGAATTCTAAATCAGAGAAAAATCTAGACAGTAAGAAAATGTCTAAATCATCCTCGTCAAAGCTTCCTGAGAAAAGTAGGCATGTTGACTCCAGTGAGTCATCTCCGCGGCCCTCAAAAATTAGAAAATCTAAAAATGACTCTGATTTCTCCCCTACAAGATCTTCAAAACGTAATTCAGGAAATAGCTCAGATCTTTCACCTCCGAGACCCACAAGGAGGAAGTCAAAGAGCAGTGATTCTGATCAATCTCCACATAGACCCTCCAAAAATAATAAATATAGTGATGATTCTGATATGTCACCACCTAGAAAGAAAGTCTCCAGAAGCAAACACAGATCGGGCAATGATTCAGACCTCTCCCCGCCAAGATCCTCTATTAGACGAGGAAATAGCTCAGATCTTTCACCTCCGAGACCCACAAGGAGGAAATCAAGAAGCAGTGATTCTGATCAATCTCCGCGTAGACCCTCCAAAAAAAATAAATATAGTGATAATTCTGATTTGTCACCACCTAGAAAGAAAGTCTCTAGAAGCAAACACAGATCGGGCAATGATTCAGACCTCTCCCCGCCAAGATCCTCTATTAGACGAGGAAATAGCTCAGATCTTTCACCTCCGAGACCTACAAGGAGGAAATCAAGGAGCAGTGATTCTGATCAATCTCCGCGTAGACCCTCCAAAAAAAATAAATATAGTGATAATTCTGATATGTCTCCACCTAGAAAGAAAGTCTCTAGAAGCAAACATAGATCGGGCAATGATTCAGACCTCTCACCGCCAAGATCCGCTAATAGGCGAGAACCTAGGAATAATTCAGGTTCTTTGACCAAGAATCCCTCCAGGCGAACCCCACCTAGGTTCTCAGAGAAGCACTGGTCCAGCCATAATTACAATGCTTCTTCAAGGAGGTCAAAAAACCGTCAATCAGGAAGTGATTCTGATCTTTCCCCTCCTCGCCCCTTTAGCAAGCCTTTTGCCAAGATGGAGAGAAACTCCAAAGACGGCAAGTTATCTAGCTCCAAGGATCATAGTGATAAGAAACCTGGTTTCAGGGACCGGTCGCCGGAAAGCTTGAGGTAAGTGATCAAAAGAATATGAAACTTTACTTCAACCATGAAATATCAAAGATTTATTGCATATCGAGGGTGTAATTGCCGAATAGATCGTGTCAGTAGTATTTAATATCTCTGCCTCCATCTTATTTTATTGAAGGAGAACAAAGCGAAGCTATTCCTGGCAATTTTCCTAGAATATTCATAACCTGTCAAAAACGCTCCCTGATCAGTTTTAAATACAGAGTAAAGTCGTTAATGGGTGTTTTTTAATTTTTACTGTTCTTACATGAAACTAAATATTATACCCAGAATTTTCTCAGTATATATAGCGAAGGAATTCATTCCTAATTGATGATGAGAAGATTCTGAGGAATTTTTCCCAACAAAGGAGATTTTCAAAGAAATTTTACATTTATCAGTAAGTAAGATCTTACTAATATGAGAAGGGCAACATGTGCCCATGTACAAAGATTTAAAAAAAAAGCAAATTTTACTTTTGAAACAAGCGAAATTATGGTAAGACTATTCAATAATTGGTAAAGTGAAATTTATAGAAAAGCCCCGAACAAAGTAGAAGAAGATGGCTCTTATATTATTTTGTTTCTGTTTAGCAGGAATTCCCATCAAACCAAAATGACTGAAACCCTCTCCGGGAAAAGAGCCGGTTTACAGGATGCAGCCGCCTTGAAGGAGGAAAATGTAAAATTCCAAGAAAGAGAAGACATTGCTTTCAAGCAGGTAAATACTTTCAGATGTATTTCATTAAAGAGGCAAAATGAGTTTTAGACCGCTTCATTTTTCTCTCCACTGGTACCTAGTTTGCTTTCTCATGATGAAGAAATGTCACGAGGTTCATTGCTACTGATGGGTAGAGATCGAAAAATTTTAATAAAATAAATTTTATAAAACTAACATCGAAATTGGTGAAAAATAACAGCAAAATTAGGAAAAAATAATAACGAAATTTTCCAATCTTAACTGGTAGGCTGCAAAGAAAATCTGCTAACAGAATGGAGGTACTCACCAAGAATTACTCTGATTACAATATTACTCTGTCAATGTTACAATGAACAATATTTATTCAGTTGTCTGTGAAATGATTAACAATATCGGTCGTCAACTGGCAATGGACAGGTGATTATCAGACTTAATAATCATTAATCTTTTCATAAAAAAATTAGGGTGCTGTAACTTCACAGAAAATCTCAGAAAACAAGTTTACTCCACTTCACAAATAAGCAGAAACTTGATTTTGAAAGTGTTTGATGTTCGTAACTGACTGTAAGTAGTTCCTTAGTAATCTCGGCCAAAAAAAGCCTTTGTTGCCAACAAAAATACACTGACCTGTTTAGTCCCGTCAGTAACAGATTCATGAGGAATAGTTTTGGTTGCACTCTAGTATAACCACTTTTTGCTTTCCTATCTTTGATCACATGTGGGTACATATGCCAGAAATTAAGATAATTCTAGGTGCAGCAGGGTTAATCAAATCATAAGCCAATCAATGGGTTATTATCTTCGGTGGGGAACTAACCTTAGGAAAGATGAAGTAAAATTGTTAACAGGCTTTTCATTAAAAATTAGCCATCATTTGGAAGAATGAAACACAGAAAAACATACAATTATAAGGATACATATTTATCTCTTAAAGCTGAATCCTTCGAGGTTTGCCTTTTTTTTCTCATTCAAGCTTTGCAATTTTTACCAAAAACTTCTGACTGTTGTAGATGAGTGCTAGTGTTTCCGGAGAAGGTGCAGCTGCAGTTGTTCGTGATCGCAGAACAGGCAGACGGAGAGATCCAGAGAAAGAGGAAGCATACAAAAAACGTAAAGAGGCAGTTGATGGTGTTATCAAAGAAAAATATGCTAAATGGGGTCAAGGGTATGTTCTCATTATAAAGTTTTTAATTGGTTTTCGACTGAATTTCAGTCCATAATCAGAGACAATACATTTTAGAGACCCTGTACTAACAATCTTAGCTATGTTATTGGGTGAGACAGAAGCCAAGTTCTGAGGTCAGTGCTACTTTTTGCCTGATAATTGATGAATCGCTTATTGATGAGCAAAAAATAAAATAAATAATTTGTCTGATTAAGTATGACCAATAAATGTCAGCACATTCCTAGGCGAGTTTTTGCTAGTTAATTTGGGTTTGCTAAATCAATTGCTCAATTCTTTGTCATCAGTCAACACCAGGTGAATCTGAGTGTTGACATTCAAAAGTAACTTTTACACTGTAGAAGAGATAGCAATGCGGTGGCTCTGTGCAGAGGGTGCAAACTGTACAGTATTTCAAATTTTTTAAAGTGGCAAAGAGAAATTTACTTATATTTTTGAGTAAGTTTTCATTTTTTAGATCCTAAATCAAGTAGGTAATTAAAGCTTGAGTAATGGGCCCAGAATAGACGTAGCCAGTAATTGCTAAGTAGCACACACTCCCATCTAGGTTCTGAAGAAAAATACATACGGTTTTTGACAGAAAAGGGTCAACTTTTTTGGCTATTTCATACATACATAATACATTCAAAATACATGTATGTATTATGATTAAACATCATAAGTCATGGCATTTCCACTGTCAAGGGAATCACCCAGGTTGGAACATTGAAAAACAATAAAACATCGTTGCAATCTCAATGTAGAATTAATTCTGACACAGTGCTTGAAAGAAAGACAACACTGCATAGTTCTTACCAAAAAAATAAGTTAGTAAATAAATAAAAAAAAATTTAATTGCAAAAAGTAACTGATGAATTCTAAAGGAAGGAAGAATTTGCTGTAATTCCATTCATAGCATATATCTTCATGCTGTCTCTAACTTATAACTCTGCGAGACTTGACAGGCATTTTTCTCTTTCAGTTTAAAACAAACTCAAGAATATCAAGAAAGGTTGGAGGAGTTGCTGCACGAGGCAGAGAAACCGTTTGCTCGCCATGCAGATGATAAAGATTTGGACGATTTTCTCAAGAATCAAGAAAGGGATGGTGATCCCATGTTGGAATATCTCCGTGAAAAAAAAGAGAAGAGTGGAGCCTCTTCTAATGGTAAGTTTATTCATCACTCGTAATCTGCTCCACCAAATGAATTGTATCATCAGAAAGCGGCCGATGTCAACATTTTATTTATTTATTTTATTTATTTACAGAACCTACGGGTCAATACAGGCCCATTTGCTAAACATTACAACGATCCAATGAAACAACAAGATGGCAATAAGGTTAAAAAAAGGAGATAGAAAAAAAAAAAAAAAAACAATGGTTCAATAATAAAGTAGGTAACAAGATCATAAAATTTGATAAAATGAGACATAATTTCAAATAACTAATTAATTAGGATCAGTAAGGAATGTCCTCCTTGAGGCAGTTTTAAAATGACAAATTCTAGGATTAAAGAAGGCAACTGGTACAGAGTTAACAACCTTACTCATTCTGGTAACTAGTGACCTATCAGGACTATTCGAATTAGTATTAAACGTGATGTTCCTACATAGCAATAACCTGGCTGAAACAGCTGAATTAAATTTACTAAGAAGTTCAGGTGAGTTTATGAAACCATGAAAGAGCTTAAACAGAAAATTTCAAATTTTGAGTCTTTACCTTGAAAACTCGTGTAGGTTAGACACATCCATCAATGTGGTGAAAATATTTGTTTTTTAGTTTAAATTTTTCTAGAGGGGGAGTTATGCTATACCCCAAGTCGTGCAATAGCCGCGAGAGTCCATCTTTCAATGTATGCCTTTCAACATCAGGGTGTAGTTTGATCTGATAAAGCCACAAAAATAAATACCACTGCAGAACTCTCTAAATGAGATTTAAAGGTGAAAAACGAACCAGGAAAATACGGTCTCATGCTATTTGTGATAACACATGCAAGAAAATGAAAAGTTTGCCACGGTAAATTAATGAGGGTCATCCGCAAGGTAAACTGCCCATTTTTCATTTTTCAAACGGAAGCAATTAGGTGCAAAGACATATCATACATACTTTAAACTTTTACAGAGTCCAAGTTCTCGAAAATCTGTCAAAAGGTTTTAAGATAGACTACAAGAATTTAATTTTAGATTTTCTCGATATTTTCCTGACATTGTAAATGAAATTTCCTAACTTTTGGCAGGAGTAAATTAACCCTTGTTTGATTTTACAAACAACATGTGTATTGAATTGAATCAAATGTTTCACTTTTGAATGTGCTAAACAGCATACGGATGAAAAATGCTTGACGCATTTAGAATTTCCTAATCCATTACGGATTGTCCTGATAACATCAAATTTCTTGATATTTTCCAGTTTTTACTCTAGACACCCTTTTTTAAAGAAGGTTTGAAAATTTTTCGCTGGATTTTCTAGATTACATTTGCCACAATCGTAAAAAAAGGGTTTCTTTGTAAGAAACTTCTATCCACACTCCGATTAAAACCCAGGCAGGATACCACGTAACTGTCCCCTGGAAGTAGAACAGTTCAGCTGGTATCGGACCCAACCCCATTTTTTTTTTACTATAATTTTTGTTAATTCATTTTCATCTTCTTGTTACTTATGATGAATCAGTCTCTCATTTTTTGTATTGGTCTTCTACAGCGAAACCTGTGTACAAAGGGCCATATCCTCCGAACAGATTCAACATCAGGCCAGGATTTCGGTGGGATGGCGTCGATCGCTCAAATGGTTTTGAAAAGCAGTGGTTTGCCAAGCAAAATGAACGGAAAGCTGTCAGTGATGAAGCCTACAAATGGAGCACATCTGATATGTGATTGGTTGTTATCGTTCTCAGTTTGTAAACATCAGAAACATCTCATCCATTATGGTATGGATAATGTAAACAGTTGCAGATCAGAGTTTGTTTTTTTACCTTCTAAGTTTTTAATTTTGGTCTGCTCTGCTGTTATGCAGACTTGGCTTTAAGTAAATGAAGTGCAGCTCTGTTGGCCTTAATTAATAGATCGCTTTACCTGGCTCAGTTACATACAGGGTGTTTCAGGATTAAGTAAAAAGTTATACCACAAGAACATCTTTTTTTTTGTCCAAAGAATCGACTCCTTCAATATTCGTACTTAATCCTGGGACACCCTGTATATCGACATGGTAACGTTAATCACCTTAATTGTGATTGGAAGGCTAAGTTAAGGAGCTATAAATAAGTGTCTGAGTAATCAGGCGGATTTTAGAGAAACCAGCCTAACCGCATTTAATGTAGCCTATTTTTCTTTCTTTTTCTTTTTTAACGGAGTACAAAACTAATAATCATTTTATGTGAATTTATCCGAGCTTACGAAGAACATACTCACAAGACTTTGAGTTTCAGTGTTGCTTAGTTTTCTGTTTTAAGAATAAAACATCAGAGTAAATTAGCCAATGTCTGACGCAGTTAGGCTGTTTTCTGTTATATCCGTCGAAGACAATTAGTCAAATTAGGCATTTTATCAAACGCCTAGGCCGGTAGTCAAATTTTGACAGTTTACAAAATTCTGTAAAATGGCGAGGAGTTCAAGGGTTTTCAATATTTTGAGAAAAATAACTCTTTAAATCGGCAAACTTTCTTTGTTCCTTCCTTTTTACATGCCTTTAGTACATTTAAATTTTAAAAATTCTATGGTTTAGGACATGCTGAAAATTTCATGATAAATGTGCACTCAGGATCCTAAAGTTGTTTAAAATACTACTGTACCCTGCATCTTTTTACAGAAAATTCTTTCTTTCAGAAGCAACGGATTCTTTTGTCTAAAATCAGGGTAAAAAATCAAAATTTCAATCTAAGTAAGAATATTTGACTATTTGCCAAGGCATTTTACAAAATGCCTGATTTGACTATTTGCTGTTGACGTATCCATCCAATCATCCATTTTTCAGGGCATTCTCAAGCGGTGAAAACTAAATTAACTCAAATGACTTTGATTTTCTTTCATGATATGATCATTGAATTTTAAAAGTATGCATTTAAGTGACAACTTTAACTTCTGTTAGGAATGTAGATTAAACAGGTTTTACGTTTCTTTACAGGGAAATGTATTTGTTAAAGTATTAAATGTAGAATATAAAAATTCAATCAAAAGTTGTAGATAAGTTTTGATGCTCTCATCTGTCTGGATATCACGTTGAGTTTTAATTCCAGTCAGCATCAAGCTGGGTGACAAGGAATATGATCAATGCTTTTCCTACTGTCGCCTCACAGTAACTCTGTGTGTCCTATACAAATTGTGATCCTTATTTTTTCAAATAAATGTTGAAGTTTCCTAAATAAATTTTGCTTATTTTACGGAACCAAACTCATCCATGATCTAAAGGATTACGCCCTGCAGTCTCATGCATTTGAAAGGGTATAAATAATGAAGTCAATATTGAAATGAAGAATTGAAATTTATAATTCACGCCAAGTAGGTAGGTAAACAAAATGTAGATAGCACATAATTTTTTTGGTGGGTACGAAAGGACCTTCCTAGGAGAGGAAAAAACAAACACGTTATACATGAGAAGAAAAATAAAACTGATCGGAAGCACCAAAAAAAAAGACTTAAAATTCAATATAACTATAAAATATGACACCGATGGAAGTGAGTAGATATAATGACGATACACAATAGGAGAATACTGAAACTGCACACTTAAAAAAGTTAAGGAAGATGTGAAGGAAAGAAATGGAGAATCTTCCTTATCAATGGCAAAAAAAATACATTATTTTATACTGAGTATGCATAATTATAGGCACAGTGATGAATCTCATTAAAAAAATAAAATACTGGAAATAAATTAAAGTATAGTGAATAATTTATGAAAATTTGAGAAGTCCCTAATGGTGAAGTTAAAACTCTGCTTTGAAAGGGTAATCCTTGTGCGACACATCCCTCTCCAAGGCACAAACGCGATCGTTCTTGTTCAGAGCATCAATGGCTTCAATGTCTTCTGGTGAAAGCTTGAAGTCAAACACCTTGATGTTCTCAATAATGCGGGACTTAGTCACAGATTTGGGGATGACGATGTTACCGTTTTCAATCTGGTACCGAATGGCAATCTGAGCCGTCGATTTACTATACTTGACAGCTATCTCCTTCAACTTCGGGTCATCCATTATTGTGGGCTCGCCTGGTTTGGCCCATGGTCGGTCTGGACTGCCTAGAGGACTGTAAGCTGTCACAACAATACCTTTGGACTTGCAGAACTCTCTCAGCTTCTTCTGTGTTAGATAGGGATGAACCTCAATTTGATTTGTGACCGGCTTGATTTTGGCGATACTCAAAATATTCTCAACCTGCTCAGGATTGAAATTTGAGATTCCGATAGACTTAGTCAAACCTTTTTCAGCGACGACCTCCATGGCTTTCCAAGTGTCAGTGATGCTTACATCACTGTAGAGCCCCTTGTCACCGTCTGCCGGGAATAACTCACCCCCTTCTTTGTAAGCTTGTGGCCAGTGGATCAAGTAAAGGTCTAAATAATCCAGTTGGAGGTCTGTGAGGGTCGTCTTCAGACCGACTTCTACAAGATCTGGACGGTGGAATGTGTTCCAGAGTTTGCTGGTGATGTAGAGGTCTTCTCTCTTGATCACTCCCTCTTTGATTTTGGCTGCGATAGCCTCGCCGATTTCTTTCTCGTTCTGATACACATGAGCACAGTCAATGTGCCTGTATCCTGCATCAATGGCGTCCTTCACAGCTTGACCAACTTGCCCGGGTTTCGATTTCCAGGTTCCTAATCCGAAAATGGGGAACTTCTGGCCATTGTTGAAAGTTACGAAGGGAATTTCAGATGCCATTACAAGAACTGAAAACAAAGAAACAAACACAGGTTTCACTTGTCTTACTCATTGCCCTGAATTCATCAATTATAAAAGGCACTTTTTGATTTGCGTATAGTAAAGCAACCGAAAACCTCTCAAAATTGTCTACTTCAGAGAGCCATGAAGCGTTCCTTCTCTAAGCTTTGCGCGGAGTCTTCAGTGATTTGGGCTCCATTGACTGAGCATCATTTGTTTGTATTGGACTATTTTTGGCCTTGAACTGAAGTACTGCTTTTTTATTGCATCTATTTTTCAGTATGCATCAACGATAAAACTGCAGAAAAACATGTCTTGTTTGCAGTGTTTCAAATTCATCATCTCCACTTAATTGCTTGAAACTTTCACAGAATATTTTTTACACATAGATGAGATGTCAGTGCAGTTTTCAAGAAACATCATGGAGTATTTTTCTTTTTGAAAAATAAATTCCTACGACTGAAAGTTTGCAGCTTTGGAAATTGAGAAACAAGTTTTTACAGTTTCACTATCCATATCAATCTGGACATTATGGAAATGCTAATTTTCGTTTGCAGTGTTGCAGACTTTCTGACATACTTGATTTACTACATGGACAACTAATGAATGTCATTTCTTAACAACTTTGAAGATGTTTCTTCTGTGCAAGAGGAATATTCTGTGAAAATTCAAAGCCACAATGATGGCTCGGTCTCCTTAAAAAAATTGAATTAGAGCGGAGATTTTGAAACACCGCAACTGATATACGCATTATTACGGTTTCACTGTCACTATGTGACCACACATAATAAAATGGACCTTGGTCCACACCACCTAAACTCAGAATTTGTAATGAATATACCATAGCATGGAAGATTGTTCTACCAAGGTAAAAACATTTCTGGACAAAAAAAGCCTGTCAAAATGTCAAATAAATGATGTTATGATGATCTAGGGTTAATGCATAAAAACAAAACAGAGTCAGACAAAAGTATCAAGCATTTTGATGGCTAAATTGCGAAACAACATGCTCCTTTTGCGACAATGCAGACTTCCCGTCATACTTAATTTTTCCTTTGAAAACTTAGTCCATGCAATTTCTCAAGATCTGCCTCAATTTTATTTCTCTATTGGCAAAATATTCTGTATAAATTTCAAGCTATAAAGTAGGCTTGTTTCTCTTTAAAAAATAAAATGGGAGCAGAAATTTAGATGCACTACAATGAAGATATGAGGTTTCACACTTCGGCCATCGCTTTAAAATTCTTATCAGTCACGGACACAGTGGAAAACTAATGATTTTGTCGCAACTGTACATCCGCCATGGCTTCAAAAATGAATTGAATCCCTGGAAATTTGTTCTTCAGAACAATAGGGACAGTTTTCTGTTGATATATCTCAACAGAAATCACTTTGCTGTAAATTTTACCTCTTTTGGCTAGGTCTTTTCTTTCCCCAATGAATGATCACATGATTAGATAATTTAAAAGACAGGAATGTTTGGGTGTTATTTCTGTGATGTGAAAAGACAAACCTCAGTAAGTACTGTTGATCAAGGAAACCGGTGTTCTCAGAAGTAATTTCAGCAGTCGTGAGTTGTATACTCAAGGAAGCGTCTTCTCAGACAAACAAACTGAAAAGAAACCCTGAAATAAGGAAGTTTGAATTAGAAGAATTCTATACAACTGAGATAAATGTCTGAGATAGAACACATCACTTTCAAAACATCATTAAAATTTTAAAATGAGCAGATGAATGTTCTTTCTCGGAGCTTCTACAAGATGCAGAGTTTCATCACTTCATACCATAATAAGACTGAAACTACAGGTAATCTAAACAAAACATTCAATACATGCTTACCATTTAGGAAGAGAAAATTAACAGGGTCCTTAATGAACAAAATGCTTTATATTCTGCCACTAAACAATGAGACAACAACATGCATTCTGCACTTGTCGCTGCTTCGCATGTGAAGGCTGAGGGATGTAATATGTTTGTACCTTGGGGGCTGCAACCCTCATTGAATGAATGATAGTATGACTTTACAAAGGCTTGCTTGGTTCCGTTTAGACCCTTGGAAGTGCTTAAACCTTAAAATTATAAACCATAGTAATAAAACAACCTCTACTGTTAGAGAAAATTGAGGTTATGTAGCAACAGTGGCTAAAACTAAATAATTGAGGCCCAGCAAACGTACCAGTAAACAATAAATTGGCAGTCGGAGGAGGCAAAAATTGGAAAATATATGTTCAATATGGGAGTGATTACTTTGGTATGAATTCCAATCTAGGTACATGCGAGGACTTCACCACACGGAGTTCCGATCTATCTGATCCAGTAAAAAAGATATATTATGTAATGGATGTTGCACGAATCAACTTACTCACAGGAGTTGTAAAAGAAGGAGGTATGATGTGTACAATGCGGTGAACTGTTGAAAGAAATAACTATTCGAAATACTAAATAAGACCGAAAACTAAAGTGCCGGTGTGGTGTGCCGAACAGCTGAACTTGGAATTCTTATCAGTGGCGTTATCAAAGCTCGTAGCGTTAGCGACTGTTGACTGTAGCGACGACAACAACAATCAAGAGCTGTGGAAACTTCCATCAGAGGCTCCAAGGTCATTACTTCGGAGATTCCAGAGACAAATAGAGACCGAGCACGTTGGGTTTTCAGTGAGGCACATCTAATTCTCGGGGATCCAACGGAACAACAGTCATGTATTTTCTGATTTCGCCTAAAGTTGACTGATGCTACTCGGCTGTTGGCATTATGGCGGCTTGTTTACATTCTTCCTAATCAATTGCAAAGCGGAAAATTTTCCAATTTTTCATTTGAAACTCTTCCAAATTGTCATAAAATGACCTATTAGAAGGTAAAAAATTAATTCGCCCCTTTTAATCAACATTTGTGATACTTTCGGTGGTTTCACTTTATGTAGTGAGAAGCAGATTCCTCGAGACTCTGAGCCTGGTCCGCAGATTGTTCAACTTCATAATGGATAATTTTAGTTATCGAACTTTCTTTTGACTTTAAATGGTGTATAATTTTTTCTAGACTTTATCAATACCTTGTGATCAAATTCTCAATCTATTAACCTCCATATCATGTCGCAGGATAGAGATATTTTAGCTATTTGAGATCTGTCAAGAACCTGATCACAGCAGCACTGCCAGTCTTACAGATACACTGTATTGAAATTTGACGAAAAAAAATTTACTGTCTTTGTCATAAGCTGCTCACTATGATAAGTATTAATCGTGGATCAAATGCTTGATGTCTCCAACATCCTATCTCTAAGCCTGATGAAGTGCGTTGAAAGCGGAGTGTTATGGCTGCGAAGCGTCGATATTTGTTGTTAAGGAGGCGTGTAAATGAAACGTTTGGATAAGCTCGCAAGCTGTACGAATTCTTTTGTGTGTGGAAAATAACTGAATGTCCAGAATTCTAAACATCTGACTGTATCTCAAGTACCTAAAAGAAATGTTGGTCAGGTCAGAGTTTGTGAATCCTTGGCAGCAGTTAATGCAGTTCTTCTACTTATTTTAGGCCTTCGCTCATCAAAGTTAGGTAAGTAAGAGACCGCTCAGATATATCATATTATGCTTGTCAGTATTAGCCCATAACTCCATAGTGTAAAAATCCTTGGAGGGTGAAGTGCCCATCATCTGATGGAGTTCCTGAGATTTGTTTAAGAACTTTTCTTCCTGATTATTCTCTCAATTTTACCAGAATTGTCTCTTCCACCACCATCATAAAGTATTTCAACCTTGCATTAAATGAGAAATGATGTATACGCTATTAGAATTCCTAAAATTGGGAGTCGTGAAACAAATAAAGTAGCTACACCGTAAACATTTGCTAGCTCAGTTGGCAGTAAAACTCTCATTAATTCGGTGAAAATAAAAGTAAATGTTTTTTCTTCGCTCATTTCGATGAGGAAACACATTGAATACATATAAATTGTGATACTGGATGCAACTAATACTACTTCCTGTAAAATTGGAAAATGTGTAACTCGAAAAAAGGAAAGAGGATCTCACCAGAGTGCTCTCTTACAACTTATAGATCAAAATTCGTGATATTTCGGCCCTTAAAGGTTCTTTCATCATTCAGAAATAAAGAAACTAAATTTAGTTTGAACAGGCATCTTTCAAGAAAGAAATGTGACAGCTTATTTGCAGTTTTTAGCTTTTTCATAATGCGTCAAATCTACCTCTTGACGAGAACAGGCGAAGATTCAATCCGCGCACTACTTATTGTTGGTTTACATTTCTCACTTACCAAACTTTAATGAGCAAAGTTGTTAAGTACGTAGGAGAATTTCAGTAACTGCTGCCAAGGATTCACAAACTCTGACCTGACCAACATTTCCTTCAGGTACTTGAGATACGGTCAGATGTTTAGAATTCTGGACATTCAGTTATTTTTCACACACAAAAGAAATTGTACTGCTTACAGGCTTATCCAACCGTTTCATTTACACAGCTCCTTAAAGACACATATCGACTCTTCAGTCGAAATGCTCCGCATTCAATGCATTACATCAGGCTTCGGGATAGGATTTTGGAAACAGAATTATTTACAGAGAATTATCTTGAAAAAATTACACACCATTTACAGTCAAAGAACATTTCGATTGCTAAAATAATTATCCATATGGTATATGGAAGTTGAACAATCTGAGGACCAGGCTGTCTCGAGGAATCTGTTTCTCACTGCAAGAAGTGAAACCACCGAAAGTATCACAAATGTTGAGTAGAAGGGGTGAATTAATTATTTACTTGGTAAAAAGTCATTTTATGACAAATTCGGAGAGTTTCAAAGGAAAAATTGGAAAATTTTCCGCTTTGCAAGTGATAAGGAAGAATGTAAACAAATCGCCATATTACCAAAAGCTCACCAGATGCGACTAGCACCAGTCAACTTTAGGCGAAATCAGAAAAATGATGACCGTTGTTTTGTTGAATCCGCGAGAATTAGATGTGCCTCACTCAAAATACATTGGCGGAATAGGGCGTGCTCGGTCTCTATTTGTCTCTGGGAGATTCACGATATCCGGCGCGGATTTTCATTTCCGGTTTTGCGTTTCCGGTTCTGCTGTTCGTTTCAGTGTGCTGCGCTGCCAAATTTTTGTTCTGAGAATAATAATATCAGGTGAAATACTTCGTCTTGTGGTAACATTCGCCTAGTAAGTTTTTTTTTTTTTTTTTTTTTTTTTTTTTTTATTTATTTGAATTCTTATTCTCACTGTTACTCTACTCAATTTCTTAAATATAGGTATAAATGGAGCTACCGTACCGATTCATTATCAACACTTTACAAAAACTGTTGCACCTATTTCCTCTATACTTGGCAGGAATGAAGCTGAAGATCGCAAGAGCATGTCTAAAAAAATCAAATTTTCAAAAGGCTGCTGCTTAAGCTCAAAAAACAGAAAAGCTATTTATTGTTAAAAAATGAAACCACCCCTAAAACCTCTACGTTCTATACTAATATCGATATGAGTTCCTATGTATGTTTCCACGTTTCGTCCGACTCCTCTTATTGACTCGGCTGAGCGCCAAATGCGCTGGTAAGGCGATTGGTATCTGAAGTCAAAACGCCTTCACTCCGTGAGTATGCAACACGGACATCCATGGAGCCTGAATAGTTGCATCCAGGCGTTATAATGAAATTCGTTTAGTATCCGTCGTATGCGAAACTAACTGGAACTTCGATAGTTTCTCCCACACCTTACTTTAATTCCAGCGATGCCTATTGTGCCGACAAAGTAAACCATTATCGATTTTTATAGCGATACTCGTCCACTCGTCAGTCGACAAAATGTAATGCGACAGGAAATCTGTAGCATCACAAGCCTGAATGCACGCACGTATGATTTCCTAGATGCAATTCCGAAACTAGCATAACAAAGGCTATAGTAAATATGTTGATAAAAGTTATATTATGTTCTCCTCTTTCCTTCCTGAAATGTGGGTTGCGTCTAATTTTGTTTTTACTTGCTGAAAAAGAGAGTCCTATACGTCACCAATGCGGTATGGGGGTGGAAGGAGACGGAAGGGGGGAGGGGGGGGGGTCGAAAAATCTAAAGTATAGCGTTTCGTATTTTAAGGGCCTATGTAATTCTGATCTGCTCGATGGCTTCCAATTAAAATACATGTTGCGATGAAGGAACTAATTTGAGCCCATTTTTGAAAGCACCCATCTGTATAGGGAAGCTAATGATTCAAATATCATTTCTCAAATGAATGCCAAAAACACTATTTACAGTTTTTTTCCCCAACCCAAGTAGCACAGATTGCAGTAATTTGCAATTACATGATAAAATTATTGCTACTGCATCGGAGTGTCGTGTATGTTGCCTACCTATTAATTATACGCAGACGGCATTTTGAAGATTGTACCAATCAAATTGAAATAAGTTGCAATTTTTCATCGCACCGCATATTGCCTATCTCTCCAATACATAGAGCTCACTTTGTTGATTGTTTAAAATCGGCATTTATTGAATAAATTATGAAAAAATCGCAATATCGTGGTGAACAAATTTCAATTTTATTGCAATAAATCGCAATTTCATTTCAATTTTTTCATTATACTGTGCTACGTAGTAAAATTAAATTCAATCGTGTTCGGCAACCCAAATAGCACAGTGCAACGAAAATATTGAAATTAAATTGCACTTTGATTTCAATAAAATTATAATTTTCTTATCAATAAATAGCAATATTTTTACATAGTTTATTCGATTATGCTGATTTTAAACAATCAACAAAATGAGCTCCATGTGTCAGAAAAGATAGGCAACATATAATACATTGAAAAAGTGCAACTTGTTTCAACTTCATTGCTTAAAGTTTCAAGAAATGGGGCCCCTTCAAATAGGAGCTAGGCAACATGCACAACACTCAGTGGAGTTGAAATATTTTTACATTTTAATTACTCCTTATTGCAATCTGTGCTACTGGAGAACCTGATCATCCTTACCTGAGTACGATTTGACACGGAAATCCTTGAACTTGATGAACTTAGGGCTTCTCCGCGGGCGAAATCACGAGAAGTGGATCACCCGGCGCAATGAGCTCGCCTGGCTTGCAGCAAATTTTGTCGACGTGGCCAGTGACAGGTGCAGAAACCGTCAGTTCCATCTTCATGGCTTCGACCACGAGGAGCGAGGACCCTGCTTGAACCCATTGTCCATCTCCCACCAAAATCTTCCAAACGCTTCCGGATAAATCAGCTCTAACTAGATGGCCACTTAGCTCCAGAGGCTCATCCACCGACCGGTCCGGAGGTTGGAAGGTTTGCTCCTCGTCTCTCCAAAGAGTAACTTCAGCATCGAAAGCGGCTTTCTGCCGCTTTTGAAAAACGGCGATGCTCTCGGCGTTGTCTGCGAGGAACTTCCGGTAGGCTCCGAAGTCGAAATCAGTCTGCTCGATACGGATTTGCGTCCTTCCCTCTCGGAACGCCTCGCGCTCAACTTGCAGCTCGCTCTCAGTGACTGGGTAGAAGCGAACCTGGTCGAAGAATCGCAGTAGCCACGGCTGATCGTTTTGGAATTGGGAGCTCTTCACGAACTTGTTCCAGATCGGGAGGGTGCGGCCGACTAGCTGGTAGCCACCGGGAGAGTCCATTCCGTAGATGCACATGTACATCCCACCGAGCCCGACCGTGCCCTCGGCGGTGAAAGTGCGGGCCGGGTTGTACTTGGAGCTCAGCAAGCGGTGGCGTGGGTCCACGGGAACCGCGCAAGGCGCGCCGAGGTACACGTCGCCCAAACCGAGAACAAGATAGCTCGCCTGGAAGATGATGTCCCTGACATCGTTGCGGTGTTCCAGACCATTGATGCGCTGGACGAAGTCGACGTTGCTGGGTAGCCACGGCGCTTCGTTTCGCACGGTTTCTCGGTATCGACTGATGGCAGCCAACGTGGCACTGTCTTCGAAAGCCATTGGTAGGTGAACAACGCGGGATGGAATCCGTAAAGATTCGACATCGCCCAGTTTCGTTTCGAGCTCGAGTAGATGTCGCATCAGCATTTTTTGGTGGAGGACATTGCTGTCGTAACGTATCTGCAAAGATCGCACACCTGGTGCAAGCTCCTCCAATCCTGGTAGAGGCTTCGTTTGGAGCGCTTTCATCAGTAGATAAACCCGCAGGCGCAGGGCTAGATCGAGGATATTCTCGCCGTATTCTAAAAGGATGTAGGAATCGCCGGCTTGCCGGTAAACTGCACGTGGACGATGGCCCTCGGCTGGTAATTCGGCGAGAATAGTGGTATAATCACTGAGGGGAAGTTCATAGATGGACGGATCGATTTTCATGGTGGCGGAGAGTGACTTGATATCATTGATCTGGGTTTGTTCGAGGCTTTGCGCTTCCTGGAAGCTGATAAGTCGGAAACGGATCCGATCACCCGGCTTCACCTGACCGACTTTCCACATCTCGGCCTTGGCGATTGTTACGGGACAAACAAACCCTCCGAGGCTCGGACCGTCCTTGCTGAGGATAACCGGCGAGTCCCCGGTAAAATTGATCGAGCCGATCGCGTACTCACAGTCGTGGATGTTCGACGGGTGGAGGCCAGCCTCGCCGCCATCGGCCCGAGTCCAACTCGGCTTCGGTCCTGTCAGACGAACGCCAAGTCGATTTGAGTTGTAGTGCACGACCCACCAAGCAGTGAGGAACTCTTCCATCGACTCGGTGGTGAAGAAGTCCGGAGCACCGTGGGGACCGTACAGCACCGCTATTTCCCAGTCACTAGAATACGTGGGTATTATGCTCTGATGCACTGCTTGTGGCAGGGTCACAGGCGCCGGGGTGCAGCAGGCTTTCACCCCAGGAATAGAGATAGGTAGCAAATCGGAAGGACAGAACGTCCGGCCCGCATGGCCACCGAATTGACCGAGGACGAATGTTGAGCGACTTCCTAGGTACAATGGAACATCGAAGCCGTTGCGAACTGCCAGGTAAGTCCGACAACCAGAGGTCGCGCGTCCTAATTTTAAGACTTGGCCAGCCTGGACATCTACCGGCCTCCAGTACGAGACAGGCTGCCCGTCGAGCTCCGCAGGACACTGCGCGCCAGTCAGCGAGATCAAAGCAGCACAATGGAACTTAAGAGTCGGGCCTTGCAAAGTGAATTCGAGTCCTGCCGCGCTCGCGTGGTTGCCGACGATCCTATTGGCTAGCCGGAACGCGAGATCGTCCATGGGACCGGAGGGCGGAACCCCGATGTCCCAGTAACCGAGGCGCCCTGGATAGTCCTGAATCGTCGAGTAGGTCCCCGGTTCCAGGACCTCCACAACGCTCGGAGAAAAAGCGAACGTGTCAAGCAGGCGGGTGAAGGCCCGTCCCGATCGAAAGCCGGGGTCTCGGATTATCTGGCGGAGGTAGTCCAAGTTCGTGACGATACCGTGCAGTCTCGTTTCTCCCAGAGCCTCTTGCAATCTTCCGAGAGCGTCCTCGCGATCGCAGCCGTGGACCACCAGCTTCGCGAGCAATGGATCATAGTGCGACGTCACCTCGCTGGCGGTGGAGACCCACCCGTCAATCCGCACGTTATCAGGAAAGTGGACTTCCGTCAAGACTCCCGGGCTGGGTTGAAAGTTCTTTATTGGATTCTCCGCGTAGATGCGCACTTCAATGGCAGCCCCTTGGGGAGCGCGAGACAAGGTGGTTAGGTCCAGTTCCTCCTTCGCAGCGACCCGGAGCATGCATTCTATCACATCTACCCCCAGAACCATTTCGGTCACCGGGTGTTCAACTTGAAGGCGCGTGTTGACCTCAAGGAAGAAGAACGCCCTCTCAGTATCATCGTAAATAAACTCTACGGTGCCAGCGCTTCGGTAGGCAACGGATTCACCCAATCGGGTGGCTGCCTTTAGAAGAGCCTCGCGTGTTGTGGTGGGGAGATTCGGCGCGGGTGTCTCTTCGACTACTTTCTGATTACGGCGCTGCAATGAACAGTCTCGCTCGCCGAGGGCTACTACATTCCCATTCCCGTCGCCAAATATCTGGACCTCGATATGACGTGCGCGGTCAACAAAGCGTTCGACGAAGACCCCGGAATCGCTGAAGAACTGATCTCCGAGTCGTTTGACGCTCTCGTAGGCCGCGGACAAGTCTTCGGGCGAGTCGCACCGTCGCAGACCGATGCCTCCACCACCAGCAGCGCTCTTCAGCATCACCGGGTACCCGATGCGCTTCGCCTCGGTCAAAGCATGTTCGACGCTTGAAAGCAATCCACTTCCGGGCGTCTGTGGAATTTCCAACTGGGATGCCAGTTCCCGGGCGCGGTGCTTCAAACCGAATTGTCGGATCTGCTCCGGAGTTGGCCCGATGAAGACTATGCCTGCCTCCTCGCATGCGTCCGCGAATTCGGCGCTCTCTGAGAGGAATCCGTAGCCCGGGAAGATGGCCGCAGCGCCGCTCTGCTTCGCCGCCTGTAGGATTTTCTCGATGTTGAGGTAGGTATCGGCGGCTTTGGTGCCCCCGAGAGGGACGGCCGCGTCCGCTTGGGTGACGTGCGGGGCGTTGAAGTCCGGCTCCGAGTAGACCGCGATGCTGCGCACGCCGAGGCGCTTCAGGGTCCGGATGGCCCGCACCGCGATCTCGCCGCGGTTGGCGACCAGCACCGTGAGGAACATCGTGGAGAGGTTAAGTTGGCTTTTTGAAGAGGCTTTCTTGCCTGTTAGACGCTGTGCATGGAACTGTTTCCTTGAGATTCCCTGAAATGAAAGAGTAAAAATGAATATTAAAAAAAAAAAAAAAAAAAAAAAAAAAAAAAAAAAAAAAAAAAAAAAAAAAAAAAAATATTGGGCGGTTCTAACTTTTTGGAATTATTCAAGTAGCACAGTGCCACAAAAATGTAAAGATAATATTGCGATTCACTGAAAAGGAGTATATTGGAGCAAGAGTTCAGACTCTTGAAAAAATGACAAGAAAAAATTATCTTTAATCAATCGGATTTTTGCTTAAATTAAATAGAAATCCGCTGAAATTAAGGGGCTTGGCTCTATTTGATTCAAGCAAAAATATGATCGAATTGGGAGTATTTTTTTCTTGGGAAATTTTTCAAGACTGGAATTTATGTCTGGACCAAAGTCTGAACTTTGGATCCGAGAGACTTTTTTCAAGTGTTCAATGCAATAAAATTGAAATTTTTTCCACTACGAAATTGCAATATTCTTCCGTCATTTCGTGAATAAATACATATTTTCAACAATCAATAAACTGATTGTGAATTTCATTTGTCAGAGAGATAGGCGATTTGCACCGCAAAGAAAAATTACAACTCATTTGAAATTGCGATAGATTTCAACTTGGCGAGTTGTTTCAATCGGTAGGTAGGCAACATACACTCCAATGCAGCAGAAATAATAATACCATGTAATTGCAATTTCTTGCAATCCATGCTACTTGGTAGAAAAATAAGATTTTACAAAAATAAGCAGAGATATTAGAAATGTTTACTTTTTGAGAATGGGAATTTGGTGATTGTGAGTCGGTATCCTCTGGTCATGGTATCTAGAGCCTTGACAGTGACACATACCGTGGTCATGACACCGATCCCAATTTACTAGGCTCAAGAGTCGCATTTGACAGCAAGTGTACTTCATTCTTCAATACATATATTATGTTGAGTTGCTTGCCACTGTTGTTATTTTTTCGTTAATAAAAGAGAAGGAATTTTAGAATTGGCCACTGAAAAGGGTGATATCTGAACTTTTGGTCAGAAATCATAAAATTCAGCTCAAAAAATGTTCTCTTGTACTTATACATTGCAAGTGTCTCGTTTTTCCTCAGTTTTTAAGACAAAAAAAATAAAGGCATAAATCAAGCAGAAAAAATTGCCACTCATAGAGACATAATTGCACTGTAAATGCGCTATTTACGGTCTGTAGGTATTTCCTTGGAGGGAAGAGGGAAAAGTAGGTGAACACACTTGAAGTGACTTGAAGAGCATAATAGAGATGAGATATGTGCAAGTTCTATTACTTATATGTTTTAATCGCTAATGTAAAAAAATACGTGTCTTCAATTACGACGTTGCAAATCGCTGCTCATATTTTTGAAAAATAATCAACATTCTTCATTTGAACAAAAATATTCCAAAAATAATCATCATTTCCTGAACATTTCCCCCCTCATTCCAAAACATTCACACAGTATTTGATGTTTTGTTTCGTTATTTGAAACTAATAATAGCCCGAGGCGCAAAAAAATACAAGGAAAAACAGTTAAAAATGGTTCAGGAGGACTATCAAACACTCAGGTCAATAAAATGTTTTTTTTTTTTTTTTTTTTTAGCCATGTAAACTCATTCCCTAGTGATCCTCTTACCTAAATTTTCTGTAGGTAAAAATAAAAATAAAATAAAATAATAAAAAATAACGACTAAATAAAAAAATCCTAGAGATCTGGAGACGCTGTAATTTAGATGCAATTAAAGTCATCGATTTTATTTTCGGTTCGAGGGCAGGGGCGGGAGGTTGGGCCCCAGAGAAAACCTTCAAGTGTGAGCCATTGATGAAAACATGTTTCTTTGCATTCTAAAAAAATAAAAAGAAGCGTTACCTTCACGAGAAAATCGCAGAAAATTTTATCATTTTATAAAGGAAAAAAATGCCTCTCAGGGCTTCCAGGATTTTTGGAAATAATTATGCGCACATTTGCAAATGATATAAAGTCTACCGCACCGACGCACTCGTTTGAAAAATGTATGAGTCTAAGAAAACAACGCTACAGCACTTTAGCGATGGGCACAAGTAAAGTTATCAAAACAGGTTTTTTGAACACTGTAGTGTAATATATTATTAATCCTTCTACTTCTACGTTGACTTACTAGCATATGAATCTCACCGACTGGTAGATAAGACGTGTATAGAAGACGCGGAAGACACGACAGACCCTCAAGTTGTGAACTGGTCGGAGTAAACAAATGAGAAGAGAAGGCACAAAGAAATATGTCCGACTCGCATGCGTTGTCAATTATGAAATTTAAAGCGGTCGTCATCGATACAAAGACGCAGAGCGTAGAGCGAGTAGAACAACGCCGATGGCATGGCGTGTTTTTGCGATACATCGATTGATCTGCCATTTAAACATATATGAAAAGGATCGATAAGCAGGGTGTTCGCGACGAACACATCAATAATCGATTCTTTACCACAGCTGCAAGTGGGGAAATATCGATAATCGGTCACTCAGGCATCGCCGGTGGACAACATTCCCGCTATTGACGAGCAGCAAGGTCGATGCATGATTGATTGGGCAGACCCAGCTTATCTGGGTTAAAAATACGAAGTGCCTCTGATGTGTAAGGATAAACAGTACGAGTGCTAAACCACGTATCTCTATTGCGGTGTAACGAAATGTTCGCTCCTATTTTACCTTTAAAAAAAAAAAATAAAAAAAGATAAACAATCGCTTTTATGGCCTGAAATCGTCGTTCGTCTGACGTAAGGGCGTATCTCGATCTCCACATAAGCCCTGTAAAGCAGGGAGTTATATGGACAGCAGGGTTCACGTGGAAATCAAGATACGCCCTTACGTCAGAGGAGCGACTAAATGTATGTGTCACAGGCAAATAGTCAAATCAAGCATTTTGTCAAATGCCTCGGCAAACAGCCAAATATTTTTACTTAGATTGAAATACTTCTTTATTTCGCTGATTTTAGACAAAATGAACAACATTTTGCAATGATGAACTATAATTTCTGACTCATCGGTAAAAACACTTACGTCCATAGGGAAACTAATGATACATACGTTTTTTCTAAACTGAGCCAGAAGTTGTAGTTCCTAATTGCAAGATGAAGTCCAAATAATCATCTGCCTTTGAAGGAAGGAACTCTTTTCAAAATCTTATAGTGGTATCTTTAATGACTTTCACCCGTCAAGGAACATTTATCTAGATAGAAGCAGCACGTCAAAGATACAGATTTTTCAAACTTTGAAAGTTAAAATGTACTAGGTGCGTTTGGAGAGATAAACGCAAGGAGCGTTTGTAGATTTAACGAATTCTCTTTTTCAAAGCATTTAAAATTTGAGAGCTTTTGGTTATAAAAACATTAAAATAAATAAAAATTTTACTGGAAGAAATTTGGCAACCAGTGGCCGTTCCTTGGTCAAAGGCTCTTTCGGCGTTCTCCCGTGCTTAGCACGGCGCACAGTGGATCGAGTCACTTCGAGAGGTCGGACATGAAATTTTTGACTGAAACTGCAAATTTTGATGTTTTTTTCGTCACATTTAACAGTTCAGGGAGTGTTTGCAGTAAAAAATTTCATGAGGAAACCAATAAAATCACTTTAGAACCTGAATTTTCGTATAAACGGAGTTATAAGCTTTCGAAGTTTCCAAATTTTGTCCGACCTCTCCTATTGACTCGATCCATTGTGCGGCGGAGTCGAGTTTTGACTATCAGTGATGATCAGTGGCGATTCTGTAAATTAGCAAAACTTTTTATCTTCCATTTAGAATATAGATTCAATATAGATTTAAAAATCGATTGTTTTACATACATTCAGATCGGAGAGGGGGGGGGGGATTGCCGACTTTCAAAAATCGCCCCTGGTGGCGATTGGGATCCACGGAACCGCGGTTAATCGAAAAGTGTGAATATGGGTGACTCTCGCAAGTTTGCGCAAAAAGGAGAGGAAAAAAGGGCTTCGGAGAAAGAAATAAGGAGGGATAGGAGTAAAGAGGAAGGGAAAACGCTCATTTTTGGCATTTATTCATGACGAAATTGACTCAAACTGCAAATTGGATACTTTAAAAATTCCAAAAAATTTCTGGGGAAAGCCCCCCGGACCGTCCTCCTTACGTTCCTCTCGTTTAAGGTGTCTGGATCTGTCTATGGTGCAACCATGGTGTTCACCGCTCGTAAATAAACAGAAGAAAATTGGTTCGATTTTACATGCACCCAGAGACAACATGCACCTTTTATTTTTATTTTTATTTTTTTAATGACTTTAAATGGCAGAATTGACCGTAATCCATACAGCGTGTGCAAAGACTCAATGGCACCAACAAGTTGAAAAACGCTGACTTCACGAGTTTAATAACTAATCGCGCCGAACGCGAACACGGTGCGCGGTGTGGTCGGCATGGAGCGCATATAAGCGCCTGCAAGACAGCGGGAATACTTCACATATTGCACGTTCACTACGGTGCGCGACTGCATCGTTGAAAAGCCGGTATGTCTCGGTGCATGCCGCGGTCGGCCCAACCACGGACCACGGTTGGCACCATTTCTGAAGGTACGGAACCTTAGGCGCGTCTGGACGCGGCGTTCAGACGCCGATAAATCTGTCTAATGATTTTTGCGCGGGGACGGCACCTTAGCGGCGAAGAGACGCTGCGGAAAACGCCAATCGAGGACGCTCCGATCTGTCGCGAACAGATCGGAGCGAAGACGCCGAGAAATTCCGCTCAGTCCGCTGTCTTTCCTGCCGATTTTTGAATGTGTTTAGTTCGACAAACCCACGAATCGATCACATAGGCCGTGAATTGATCGACAAAAGCCGCGAATCGATCGAAAATTCCGTGAATCGATCGACAAGAGCCGTGGATCGACCGACCCACCCGTGAATCAATCGACAAAAGCCGTGGATAGATCGACAAACCTGTGAGTCTATCGACAAACCTGTGAATCGATCGACAAACCTATGAGTCGATCGACAAACCTATGAGTCGATCGACAAACCTGCGAATCGATCGACAAACCTATGAGTCGATCGACAAACCTGTGAGTTGATCGACAAACCCGTGAATCGATCGAATTACGCCGATTGGTTCACGTTTTGGTTTTTCGATCGATTCATGTCGATTGACTAGATACCGGTTTTCCTTTTAATTGTCAATCATTTCTCGTCTATCGATCCACATTTTTTGTCGATCGAATCGACACCCGTTTTTTAGTAATTTGTCCATCGATTGGTGTCGATCGATTCACGTTTTTTTTTCAGTCGATTTTTGTCGATCGAATCCACACCCTCCTAAAAAAAAAGCGCGTACAGCCATTTTCGCGGCCCAGAGCATACTGTCCGATCAACGAAAATTCGAGAAATTGACGGCGGACAGAGCGGAAAAAATCCACGGATTCCGCTCCTAAGGTGCCGTGCTCTAAAATGTGAGCGTCTTCTCTCCCTCGACTCGGTAGCAGCATTTTCCGCCGGCGTCCAGGACGCCGCGTCCAGACGCGCCTAAGGTTCCGTAGCTTCATCAGTGTAAACCGCGAGCCTGCACTGCCGTGCTAAGAAAGAACGCCGTATGAACATTCGAGAGCTGCCAAATTTCCTTCGATAAAATGTTTATTTTTAAGTAAAAATATGAATATTTGTATGTATATTTTTTTAAGGAACTTTAGGTGAAATTGCGAAAAAAATTATCTGAAAAATTGGATGAAATGTATACACAAGTTAACCAGGAAACTCGTGTTTTATCAAAGTAAATTTCACTGGAAAAAAAAAACACATTGGTTCTAGAGTCCAGACTCTTAAAAACATCGACAAGAAAAAATATTCTTGATTCAATCAGATTTAAGCTTAAATCAAGAACCAAGCCTCTTAATTTGAGCGGATTTCCTTTTGATTTAAGCATAAATCTGATTGAATCAAGAGTCCTTTTTCTTGTCAATGTTTTCAAGAGTCTGGACTCTAGATCCAATGTGTTTCTTTTTTCCAGTGTTGGCAACGCTTGAAGGTTCATACGGCTTTTTTTTTTTTTTTTTTTTTTTTTTTTTTTTTTTTTTTTTTTTTTTNTTTTTTTTTTTTTTAGCACGGAAAAGAAATCCTCGGGGAATCGGGAGATCGTATAGTGATTTTGCAATCCTGAATGGTACCTCGAGTCATTAATGTTGAAGCCAGTGGGGAGGCGGGAATGATCGATTATCGATACTTTCTTATTTGAATCTATGGTGAAGAATCGATTATTAAGGTGTTCGCTACAAACACCCTGTTCATCGATCCTTTTTCATAGGTTTAAAAGGCAGATCAATCTATACATCGCAAAGCACGCCACGCCAGTGGTCGGAGCTCGTTCATCTTTTCTTGATAGACTAAAACTAGAGCCTCTCTATCGCGAGAAAATTGACCGATCTCGTAAGTTCTCCTTATAGATGAGTGATTACCGTAATTTAGAGAACTACTCAGCGCCAATTCTTGAACTACTGTGATTTTTTTCTCTCTGTGCGAAGAATACCCTGCGAAAACCTCAAGGACTGATTCGTCCTCCTTCAAAAAAATGATAGACCACAGTAAAGTCCTATTTAAATGATTAATGTATTAAAATTCTATAGACGGAGTTAATTTTCACCTAAGTCAATTTGTTGAATGGTTTAAAAACCTGTTGTTGGTTGTTTTGTGCATGTAATCATCATTTTCATTTATCTCACTTACTGAATTATTTAACACTTCATGTTTCATATTTTATCTAGTTTATTCTGTTTGTATAATTTATTCAAAGATGTTTTGTTCGGTGTTCGTTCTCTTATTATTTGACTAGCTTCGTTTTTTAAGCTACTGATGAGCTACTGGAGATGGGCTGTGCCCGAAAGATGTCTATGGCTGTAATGTAATAAGTTCTTGTTAATTATATATATTTGCAAGGTTACGACTTTTTTAAATTTAATTGTATTTCATTAATGTATTAGGATCTCTAAACTGTTTAAAGTAGTTATAAACTCTGACCATCCAATGCAATACAATTTTGAAGAAACCAGCCATTTATAAACGTAGAAACAATTCTGCTATAGATTGATGTTCGCGGGAAAGTGTGGAAATACTGCTGTTTCATCGTAAATAACGTCAACTTTGCGCACTTACCGCTCACTCACAAAGGGCCATCCGTAAAATACGTAATTCTCTAGGGGAGAGGCCGGGAGGGGGAGCAGGGCGGGAGGGGGGGCAGGGCGGGAGGGGGAGCAGGGCGGGAGGGGGAGCAGGGCGGGAAAGCCTAGAAGAACGTTACGGAATTTCATTTTTTCGTCGTAGGGGATAGGGATGGGATCTACGTCTTCGAAGCTTTAAGAGGTGAAGGGAGGTCGAAAACTTCCAAAGTTAACGTTACGTATTTTATGAACAATCCCCAACTCTCTTTTTTTCAATGAAGCCCTTGTCTATATTACCTGCTCTGGCTGAACTTTTCAGTCCCTTAAAAATATGTTAGTCGAATTATAAAAGAAATTCTTTTTCGGGTATTTGGTTGGTACTCCACTTCTCGGTCATCCAGCAGGGAGGACACGATGCTGCTGAACAGGCTCGGACTGGCCACAGCCGCTAGACCGCGATCGCGGCCGGGGCCCCCGAGAAAGAGGGCCCCACAATTTTTTTTTTAATTCTCTTTCTTTGCCGTCGTCCTCGGGGCCCCCGAGGAAGAGGGCCCCAGAATTGCTTCCGTTAATTTTAAGACTCTGTAATCTACGGGTTAATTAATTTTCGACGACTGGGGCCCTCGAGTCGGGCGCCTCCACTGTTACAAGTTATTCCAGTGAAATTTTTTGACGTAAACTAAAACTTACGTGCTCTCAAAATTGCGTATTAGGTCGAATATTGTATCAATCCGAACCTCTAAAAGTTAACAATTTTATTAGCGTCCGGGAGGATAAAATTGCATTCTCGGGATATAAGAGATCCAAAAATTTTCCGGGGGACTTCCGCCCCCCGGACGCCTCTCTTTCCTAGGGGGGTCCCCCCCCAACCCCCCACCCGTGGGGGCCCTCACGATGCGTCGCCGCGGCCTAACTTTTTTCACGCCAGTCCGAGCCTGCTGCTGAATTTACTGCTGTTATGTCGAGAATGACGTCAGTTTTTACGCAGTCAGTGTACTCGGACAACGCTATTTTTTTAGACGCGACAAAGTTTGTTCTTTAAAGGCGGCCATTTAGGTACTTTTAATAGTTTAAACTAGAACAAAATCCACTTATTTTCTTTTTAAAATATCGCGGAAAAAACGATTCGCAAAGCGGGAAGTTGGGAAATCAAATCCAGAGAAAAATATTAACAAGTGTCAACTGGCGCAAGAAAAAAAAATTTATACAATGGAAATCTTTTTTAAACTATAGATTCATCCGCAAAATAAAAAGGTTAAAAAAAATTAAAACAAATCATACTATACAACATAAAGTCATAAGAGTAACGCGTAATGCATAACGCCTGAAGCGCAAAGCACTTCGGGGGGGGGGGGTGGATTGCGAAGTGGTCAGAGGATGTGCCCCCTTGTGATAAGCACTGGAAATAACAAGTCCCTTAAATCTAGAGTTCAGACTCCTAAAAAATTTGACACGAAAAAATACACTCGATTTCATCGGATGTTTGCTTGAATCGAGAGCCAAGCCTCTTAATTTGATATCCTTTTGATTCAAGCAAACATCCGATTGAGTCAAGAATATTTTTTCTTGTCAAATGTTTTGAGAGTCTGGACTCTGGATCCATGCGACTTTTTTTTCCAGTGATTCTTCAGTATTTCCTCAATTTCAGAATTTTCTAAATCGTGCGAATTTTTTCTTTTAAAAAAAAGTGAATAACGATGACTAAAGTGCGAATTCACGTATCTCCATTGCGGTGTTTCAAAACCTCTGCTCTTATTTCATTAGTTCCAGGAAAAACAAGTCAACAATGTAACTTGAAATTTCTGCGTAATATTCTGCTGATATGGGAGGAAAGTCAAAGGAAGTTTTCAGGAAATCGAGTTGACCAGTATGAAAAAGTGAAGTATGACGTCAGGTCTGCAACGTTGCAAACAGAGATACATGGTTCCGCACTTGGCCATCGATATATTTCAGTGACGTGGCGTGCTTTGCGATATATCGATTGTTATGCCTTTTAAACCTATAGAAAAGGATCGATAAACAGGGTGTTCGCAGCGAACACCTTAATAATCGATTCTTCACCATAGGTTTAAATGGCATAACAATCGATACATCGCAATTCACGCCGCGCTACTGATATTTACAATAATAAAATATTCACGTTTGCTTTCCTTTAAAATTAAACATTACTCGGCTAAAAAAAAAAAAAAAAGAGAACACGCTTTTCAGATAAAAAGATGAGGATTTTACAACACTAATCGAGTTGGATCCTTTCCGTTTAATGCAATCCAAATACTGTATAATATGAAGTACGTAGCCACGTACTGCCGTGCCAAGGAAGAACGCCGTATGTACATTCGAGAGTTGCCAAATTTCCCTTGATCAAATATGTATTTGTGACGGCGTTCATGCATATTTTTCTTTGAAATTTTCAGATATTTTAGATTAGATTGCGTTCAAAATTGTCCGAACATTTTGGGAAAAAAATATTCGAAATTATACCCGTAAATTCAGTTTTTAGTGAAGGAAATCTGGCAGCGTCTAAAGGCTCATACGGCGTTTTTCCTTGGCGCGCTAGCGTAGCCTAAACCTAAAATCATTAATCGGCGGTATTAGTCCACAACCGCGTATCTTGTTGGCGGAGTTTGTAAATCTCCGCTTCTATTGTACTTTTTTAGAGAACAAATCGGCACATTACTTAAAGTTGTCGCAGAATTTCCCTCGCACTGATAAAAAAAAAAAAAATCACGGAGGTTTTCAAGAATTATTGACGTTGAGCATTATTTTAAAAATAAAGTGCGACAGGGAGTCTGCAACGTCGCAAACCGAGATTCTTCCTTTCCACCAGGCGTCCTATTAAAAAAAATCGCTGAACTCAGTGACAGGAGTTCTGCCGTGCTAAGGAAAAACGCCGTAAGAACCTTCAGGCGTTGCCAAATCTCCTTTGATAAAGCACGAATTTCCAGATTAGTATATGAATATTTTTCTTCCAATTTTTCAGATAATTTCGTTCGCCATTTCTCCTAAAGCCCCTGAAAATCTCAAGGAAAAAATATTCACAACTTTCCTCAAAAATAAACATTTTATCGAAGGAAACTTGGCAACTCTCGAATGTTCATACGGCGTTCTTCCCTAGCACGGCAGAGTTGTGGATCACATTTTGCAAAAAGGAACCAAGAGCATTCCAATGTCGCTAGAATTGTGCAACTTACATCCTTTACAATAAAATTACTGGAATCGAGCAAAAAATTAAATTGATCAAAGTAATTTTTGTCTTGAAGTTATACTTGATTGAGAGTGAATATAGGAATTGTTTAGATGATCAGTTCATATTTGCTAGGTATAAAGAGTTGCAGAATCTTAGCGACATTGAAATGCTCTTGGTTCCTTTTTTCAAAATGCAATTCTTGTTTATCATGGGTTTTGCTAGTAGATTTGGCAATGAGGGCGGATAGACAAATCTGATCGTGCGTGGCTTTGTGTGTGTGTGCGAGTGGGAAGCTTTCTCGCTCGCCCGTTGACAAACGATAAGAATTGGTTGGATGAAAATCTGCGAGACCGAATCCGGCGACCGGCGAGCCACGCGTAGCGTTGGGGAGGGGGGAGGGAGGCCTGCCTCGAGACATCCACCACCTCAGGCAAGCGCGTGTCCCTCCCCTCTGGTGCCGGTCAGTCAGTTTCCCCGAGCGCTACCATGAGGTTCACGAGTCGCAACCTGTTACGTAGTCGGTAGCACATTATTCTGTCTGAACTCGCTCACCTTTTACTTGTTTCGGCAATTACTCGTTTAAACAGTGCTTTCGGCTAGTAAGCTACGGTTTTCTCAATATCTGTGCAAGTTTTAATCGTTCCTTCGAGGATTGTGTGAACTTCTGTGACCAATTCGCACTTGGCAAAGGCGAAGGATACCGACTTTTCCAATATGGCGGGCGTGAACGTACGGAACGTATCCTTTCGGTCTCTGGTCGCGTCGCATCGGTTGAAGTTATTCGTTTTCGCGTTGTGCAAGTAGCAAGTGAACTTTTCGCGAATATACGTTCAAATTTTACGTGGCGTGATTCGAATTCGACGAGGACTATTCTCGGAAATGGAGATACTTTTCCTCCCTCTCATCGGTTGGAAGTGATTTTGTTTTCGCACTACGTGAGTGGCCTTCTTTCGATTATCCGTCGGATGTTTTCGTGGACTTGATTTCGGATTCGACAGTTTAGTGCTTTCTTAATTAAAAGAAAGCCGCCAAGATTTAGGTATTTTTGTGGTTGCGATTCCTTTTGTGTTCGGCTGAAGTGACGAGGATCAGCCTCTGCTCTGGTGTTCCGTTCGAGTTGGCTCGCGTGGTTTCTTGAACCTCCGAGGTTCTGCGCGTGCTTGCTGTAAGCTCCAGCATTACTATTTGTCTCACATTTTTATACCTTCGGTTTCGGTTCTCTCGTAATTAGTGATCCCTTTCCATGGTCGCGGATAGTTTCGGTTATTATGTGTTTTCTTTGTTTTCGCGTCGTGTGAAACCGTGAGACAGTGATCGTGGATTCAGTGCGTTTTTTGTGTTCGGTTTTTCATCTGCTTAGTGGGACGAGCCTTGGGAATTATGTCTACAATATTCTGGAATATTCTGCCCCAGCTATTTTCGTAAGATTGGTCAAGCTCTCCGGTCAGGTCTGATAACATCAATTAATTACTCTATTCTGATTTCAATTCTGTCACAACATGTTGAGTATCTTTACCCCGATTGCCACTCTCATGGTTATGGGGTCGTGCACTCGAAGAGTGCGGTGTTGTTTCTCAAAGAGGGAACGGAAAATCGGCTTTAGTCGTTCAGAAATTACAGTCATCTCTAATATAAGGTATTTTTCGAATACTGGAATCAACAAAATGTATCATATGCCTCGTGATTTTTCCTTAACTGGATACATTCAAAGCAGAAGGAACTCTGATATGTGTCAAGAATGAATGTAGTTCCTTGTGATTATGATTTACCATAACTACGCCAAATTATTTGCATGTTTTCAGCTATCTTTTGCTACTTTCTCATACCTATTTAGTTGTCTCCTCCAAAATTCTTCGAATGAGTATGAGATTATAATTGCTAAACTAGTAGACTGCCAGTGAGGGCTAAGAAAGGGAGGTTTCAGTTTTTTCTTAAAACATTTTAACCCACATTTATTAGACAGTATTTGTGTTCTTAACATAAGTATGTCCTCTTTGAGTCCACTCCAGAAAAATGAGATTGAGAATATTTTCAGGTACTCAAGTGGGATGCTAATTTATTGAATGTACTTGAAACGTACTCCCCCCTCCCCCCCTGAATTGACTAGATTTGAGATTTCGGAATGATTATGAAATTGATAAATTTTTAAAATCTAGGACTCCTCCACCTCCGTCGTCAGCCAGGGGGACTTTTTTTTTTTTTTTTTTTTTTTTTTTTTTTAAAGGCAAGTTTGAGTGTCATCTTTCACTGCCAAGGTCCCAATTGACAAAAGTAAAGAGAGAAGAAGGATAGATGAAAGAAAGAGAGTGAGAGAGCGATAAGCGAACATTCATGCCTCCTCTAAGTGACAAGACCCGAGACTTCATTCCCCCCCCCCCTTCTTTTTAAATAGTTTAAGTGAGACATAAGTAATTGAAGAGAGAAGAAGAAGGAAATATGTAAGAAAGAGAGAGAGATGAAGAAGGAAAGATATAAGAAAGAGAGAGAAGAAGGAAATATTTAAGAAAGAGAGGGAGTGAATATCCATACCTAGATCTGAGACTTTATAGTTTTTGTGGAACATGATTGTATTGATATGTTGCAAAGTTTCAACTGAAAATACACTCCTTTAATGTAGCATCCTCCGGGAATATGTTCGTCGTTTAAATGTCCTTAAATTTTCGTCTTTATCACAGTATAGCTATTCTCAACGCATATTAAAATGAATCCAGCAACGTTGCTATGAGATAAAGTCCCTCTGACTCTCGACTCTTCAATAGACTTTGCCATCCCTATCCTCCAATTTGCTCCACGCCTTTTGTAGTTCTCCCGTTCCAAGGAAAAACGCCGTATGAACATTCGAATGTTGCCGTTCCTCCCAGTAAATCCTTATTCTTGAGAAAAGTTGTGAGTATTTTTCTTTGAAATTTTCAGACACTTTAGATCAAATTTGAAACAAAACTCTCTAAAAAATTGGGAGGAGACTGTCTAAAATTTTCCCGAAAATTCGTATTTGTGAAAGAAAACAAATTTCCTCCCAGTAGATACACTTATTCTTGAGAGAGGTTGTGAGTATTTTTCTTTGAAATTATCAGATACTTGGGATCATATTTGAAACAAAATTCTCTAGATAATTGGAAGGAGACTGTTTAGAATTTTCCCGAAAATTCGTGATTTGTAAAAGGAAACTTGGCAATGCCTGAAGGCCCATACGGCGTTCTTTCTCAGCGCAGCAGAGTAGGTACCAAAATTTTCTTCCTGTCACCTCACAGTGCCTTTACATTAGAGAACGTAGTTATCAGGAATATTGTTTAACAATTCGGTTTAATTTTAGCCGTATCTTTCAATTCACTTTTCACGAGGAAGGAGCACCACACCACCCCGCCGGAGAAAAGAGACCAAAGGGGAAGAGAGTGTGAGAGAGACCGGTAAGGGGGGGGTGAGGTGCATTGACAGAGTTGTGAGGAAAACCAGGGAAAAGAGAGATAAGCGCGCTGAGGGGGGCTTCGTTGCGTCCCTTTCGACAGGATGTTGTCTCGCCACCCGACTCACACTTGCAGGTGGCGACTGTCTTATCATCGATAGTTCCTTCCAGCGAAATCGGTCCCGAAATATTTCACAGAGCAGATTCTGACAGTGACCCTTCGTTGATTCAAACTTTTTCCTCCTCAGGCGTCTTGAGACTGTGATCATTCCACGAATACCCTTTCCCCTCCCGCCCCTCCTCCTTTTTTCAAACAACTTCACTCCGAGAGGCGCGTGTTCACCGCAGGTAGTTTTCGCAGGGTTGCCGCTGTCAATGAACACCCGTAAAACCGGGAAATGTCAGGGAATTTTAAGAAGCCACGGAAAACCTGGAAACGTCAGGGAAAATGAAGAAATCGTGAGGGAAAAATCCTCAAATCACCTTTATTTGCTTTTTCGGGTGGGTTTGACGTATCGAATGACAAATGCTGAAAAACTATTTATAAGTACGTCTTTTTAAAAATCTGGTATTCGTTCAACTGTCAGAGAATTTCACCAAAATGCATCAGGGAAATGACAGGGAATTTAATTTTCCAAATTCTATGGCAACCATGTTTTCACTCTTCCAGGGAATGATTTTCGATAAAATTCTACGTTTCCCTCTCGTTGCTTTCCTCTTTCTAATTCAGTTAGGGACCGTTCAAGTATTACTTACGTAAGACATTTAAATGGCAGACTTTTTGACCCTCTCGCCCCCTATTTTTGAACCACGCTATAATGGTCGAGCCCCTCTCCTCCCTTTTGAAGTATGTAAGAATGATTAGACAGCCCCCCTCCCCCATTTCTTAGGAGGTAACTGAGAAAACCTGGAGGGAATTATTCACCTATGTTGTGTAGTATTGTTTTTTTCCATCTGAGGTGAGAAGCTTACGTAGGACTGGAAACCCTTTTTTTTTAGAAAGTAATAGAGACAACCTGAAGAGATTATTACTTATGTTGAGAAATATTGTTTTTTTTTCCATTTGAGGCAAGAAGCTTACGTGGGACTGGATTCTCCCCCCCCCTTCTCCCCCATTTTTTAAGAAGTAACTGAGAAAACCTGAAGGGAATTATTTACCTATATTATGAAATATTGATTTTCCCATCTGAGGTGAGAAGCATACGTTGGACTCCCCCCCCCCCCCCCTTTTTTTAGAAAGTGATGGAAATAACCTGAAGGGAATTATTACCTATGTTGAGAAATATTGTTTTTTCCATTTGAGGCGAGAAGCTTACGTGGGACTAGACTCCCAACAGAGAAAACCCGAGGGGAATTATTTACATATGTTGTGAAATATTGTTTTTTTCCATCTGAGGTGAGGAGCTTACGTAGGACTGGACAGCCCCCCCCCCCTTCGTAATATACCCGTAGAAGCAGGCTTAGATCACCTCCCATCGTCCGTAAGGTGATTCGATGGCAGACTCATTTGTGAGAATGACATGTGATATATTGCATCGAATATTTCCATGTTTTCAGCTCTATGTCATTTTTATCGAATTGTGAGATCGCATCTCTTTTGTAACGAGACTAAAGAATGCACTTACCAAATTTTACAAACTAATTCAACGTGATGAAAGGCAGAGTTTTTTTAGAGGAAAAATGTCTTATTCGAGTGCATCTTCGATATCAGTATCGAATGCGATGTATCTCCTCTAAAAAAAGATCCTGCCTTTATTACGGTAAATTTGTTTGGAAAATTTGGTACGTGAATTCTTTAGTCTCGTGGAAACAGAAATGTGACCTCAGAATTCGAACAAAATGACTAATAGCTGAAACCATGAAACTAATCAATGCGATATATTGCATGTCGTTCTGACACAAAATTTGGCGGCCCATTAAGTCACCTTAGGTAGCGTGCGCAATACTTGAACGGCCCCTCCCTCATGCAACTCTTACTCCTGAAATGGACCACATTTTTCAATTAGGGCCAATAATCTCTGGCTTAAGTTAGGAACAGCTTATGTGCCATTAGTTCCCCTATGCAGATAAGGTATTTCTACCTGTGAGCCTGAAATTGTAAGTCCGAATCTGAATTCCGAGGGAATCGCTCATCCTTACATCTAATTTTGTTCGATTTATGAAAGCACAGCATCAATGATATAAAATACATAAATGTATGGTACAACAGGTACTGTGTTAGGGTTTTAGGTATTTGCGTGATCAAATGGTGAGATCATTCATTTGACGTCGTCCAAAAATTTGCAAATTTTTTCAACATGAGAATATCGGATGCCTTTTTACTCAACGCAAGCCAAGCGAATTTTTAATTATTCATCCCCCCGACCATCATTCAAAACGACCCTTCAAACATTCCCTCGCCTCCCTTTTCTTAACACTCACTTGTCAGGCATTAGTATTATTTTATCATGGAATTCTGATTATCTCTCTGAATTTTATGACCCCACTCCCATATTATAGATCTGTGTAGGTATCATTGACTGAAACTTCCTTTTTTAAACAATTGGACTACATTTTACTTTACGGAACTATTATTTCGGGCCTATCATATCAACTAATTGTACACGTGTTGTCTCTAAAATGAGCCAGAAATATCAGTTCTTTACAGCAAAATTTAGTCCAATTAATCTTTTTTTTTTTGTTGGTACCACCTTTTTTCCTTGAGTCTACCCTCTCATTATTTCTATCCTTGCAAGCCTCTTGCCTTCAGCTCCTTCATCATTTCCATCCGTGCGTGCATACTCTTGCCTTCAGTTTTTATCCAAGCATGCTTCTTGCCTTCTGATCTCTCATCATCTCTATCCATGCCTACTCCTTGTCTTCAGCCCCCTCATCGTCCCTATCTATGCTTACTTCTAGTCTTCAGCTTCTTCATAATTTCTGTCCATACGTACTTCTTGCGCGCCCTTCCAACTTTTCTTGTTTCTCTCTCATCTTTAGGTACCCATGGTAAGTATGCTTTGTAAGAGGGTAAGTATATTAGGTAAGTATATCAGGTAAGTATGT